ACTCTAATTTGAGCATGAATAAAGGGATGTAAGCCCTAAGATCAATCCCAATTGACAGTTCTCCTCATCATCCTACTTTAATTTGAGGAGAAAAATTGCGAATCGCGATAGATCTTAGGGCTTAAATCTTTTTATTCATGCTCAAATTGGGGTCTTAATTTTAAACAGATGAAAATACCCTTAATAATTTCATATTTTGACATGTTTTAAACAAATGTGTGATTGGCGTGATGAATTTTGGCATTAAAACAATAGTCGTGGATGAAAATTGGTACTAAAGTAATAGTCGAGGATGAAAATTGGTAGGAATTAAACATGTGGACTAAAATTGTCATTTTGCTAATACTCGTGGGACCAAAATTGGTATTTGCTCCTTTTAAATTACTTAACAGGAAGTTTGGTTGGAGGGAATTACGTGAGAAAAAAATTGTAATTTCATAAGAGATGAATTATTGGGAATAAAGTAAAAATTTAAATTTCAATGTTTGGTTTATAGGAATAGAAATTACTAGAAATTTAAATTCCAATGTTTGGTATACATGGGAATAAGTAGTATAAAGTCCAAAATGTCCATTGTTGTGGTATTAATTTTAGATTAAAAAAAGAGAGGTGTAATTTTGTCTTCCTAAAATTCCAGAGGGACATGGGGTTGCTTTTTTGAATGCCTCCACTGAGAGACGAACTCACAACCTTTCAAATAAAAGTCCAATCCAAGTACCATTTGACCACATAGTCTTGGTATTTTGATTACTTAAGATAAAAGAGTGGTCATGATTTTTATTCAATTTTTTTTTTTGTCTAATAAAATTTGAACATTTAATGGAAATAAAAATTTAAGTAAAATTTTGAAATCTAAATAGTATTTTTCTTATTAAGTCTACAATTCTCTTGGGAAACATGGGCCTCATAGTCATCATCTTTAGTCTTGGGGATTTTACAATCGTTATGCGTTGGACCTGTGTCTAGCATGCATGCTGGACACGGATAACAGTGTCATTAGGCACTGTTATCTCCTCTTTTTTTTTTTTTTTAAATTTCAGACCGCTTCGTTATAGGAGTATATGTTCATAATTTTATTACTATATGTTAATAACTGTACATTCATAACTCCATAACTGTACGTTCATAACTCTATAATTGTACATTCATAACTCCATAACTGTACATTCATAACTCCATAACTGTACGTTCATAACTCTATAATTGTACATTCATAACTCCATAACTGTACATTCATAACTCCATAATTGTACATTCATAATTTTCGAAGCTCTATGTTCACAATTTTAGAGCTCTTTGTTCATAATTTTATCACTATATGTTCATAATTGTAAGTTCATTATGTCAGAGCTCTTTGTTCATAATTCGATCAATAACTGTACATTCATAATTCCATAACTGTAGATTCATAATCTCATAACTATAGATTCATAACTCCATAACTATAGATTCATAACTCTATAACTGTACATTCATAACTCCATAACTGTACATTCATAATCTTCGAAGCTCTATATTCACAATTTTAAAGCTCCATGGTCATAATTTTATCACTATATGTTCATAATTGTAAGTTCATAATGTTAGAGCTCTGTGTTCATAATTTCATAATTGCATAACTGTACATTCATAACGGCATAACTGTACATTCATAACGGCATAAATGTACATTCATAATTCAAAAAAAAAAATAACACTGTTAACACCGTTAACGACAAAACACGCGCGAATTTTTTATTTTTAACTAAATGACGCGTTTTTTTTTTTTTGAAAAACGACGTCATTTTGGGCCCGTGTCCACAATGACACGGGTCCAGGGCATAATTTGCCGGGATTTTAGCCAATCATTATATCCTACACCACAGTGCACATAGCATTGTGCGCCGCGCGCCTCGCGAAACGACGTCGTTTTGGGGTAGTGTTGGGAGGCGCGGTAGGAAGTTGCTGAGATTATGTGTATTTGTTCACAACGTTATGTGTATTTGTTCACAACGTTATGTGTATTGGTTCATACAGTTATGTATATTTTTTATACAATTATGTACATTCTTTTTATACAATTATGTACATCCGAATCAGAAAATTTGTGTGTATTATGTTAATAGTTGATGTGTATTATGTTAAAAGTTTATGTTTATTATGTATTATGTTAGATTATGTGTATTATCTTTTAAAAAGAGTATGTATATTTTGTTATATAATTATGTACATTCATGTATAACATTATGTGTATTCTAGTATAACATTATGTACATTCTTGAACAGCGGGTTTTTTTTTTTAAGAAAAAACTACTGCCATTCACTGGGACGGGAAATTTCAAAAAAAAAAAAATTAAAACGACGTCGTTTTGCATCTGGGCGCATAGTGCAACGCGCGCCGTGGTGTAGGATATAAATTGCCGATTTTAGCAGTAGGCTTTTCAATCGTTATGCGTTGGACCCGTGTCCAACATGCTTGCTGGACACGGGTAACAGTGCCGTTAGGCACTGTTATATCTCCTCTTTTTTTTTTTTTTTTTTTTTTTTTTTAAATTTCAGACCGCTTCATTGTAAGAGTATGTGTTCATAATTTTATTACTATATGTTAATAACTGTACATTCATAACTCCATAACTGTACGTTCATAACTCTATAACTGTACATTCATAACTCCATAACTGTACATTCATAATTTTTGAAGCTCTATGTTCACAATTTTAGAGCTCTATGTTCATAATTTTATCACTATATGTTCATAATTGTAAGTTCATAATGTTAGAGCTCTTTGTTCATAATTCGATCAATAACTGTACATTCATAATTTCATACTGTAGATTCATAATCTCATAACTGTAGATTCATAACTCCATAACTGTAGATTCATAACTCTATAACTGTACATTCATAACTCCATAACTGTACATTCATAATCTTCGAAGCTCTATATTCACAATTTTAAAGCTCCATGGTCATAATTTTATCAATATATATGTTCATAATTGTAAGTTCATAATGTTAGAGTTCTGTGTTCATAATTTCATAATTGCATAACTGTATATTCATAACGGCATAACTGTACATTCATAACGGCATAACTGTACATTCATAATCCAAAAAAAAAAATAACGCCGTTAACGGCAAAACGCGCGCGAATTTTTTTTAAAAAAACTAAATGACGCGTTTTTTTTTGAAAAACGACGTCGTTTTGGGCCCGTGTCCACAATTCAATGTGGACACGGGTCCAGGGCATAATTTGCCTAGGCTTTTAGGTTGGGCATTTTCTATATTTGGGCTCGAAGCAGTGGGCCTCTTATTTGGGTGTTGTATTATTTTCATAATAACAAATTTCAAAACGTTTCAATACCTTAGACAGTTAGACTAACACAAGTTGGATCTTTGTGGAACTTAATAACAAGTCATTTGGAAAGAAAATAGAGGAAATAATAAGACATGATATTCACAAAATAGAGTTGTGTTACCCAGGTCTCATATAAATGAGAGATAACGTAGATGTTTGAATTTTTCTAAAGTTAGTCTTTCGTTTCTTTATTCCTATTGTCAACAAGACTACTATACAAGAGAGATAACGTACATATTTAAATCTTTCTATAGTTAATTTTCCGTTCCCCTATTCCTATCATCAATTCTCCTATCTATACACTTTGTTCCCGATGTCAATCACATCCTCTCCCAACTCCTTGTCACTTTGCATTAGAACCTCCTCCACATACCTTCAACTAACTATCACAATGCTCCTCTTTACACCTTAGTCAAGGTTCTTCCTTCATCACCCATTCATTCTAACTCGACTAATCATCCTTCAAGCTTAACTCGTAGTATCACTTCAAGAACTAATCGACTTAATATAAAGGTTAAGTGATTAACCGATCATTTCTTACCTTTAATTTGAGCCCTAAACCCTAACAACCAACTTTGGCCTAGACCATATCTGAAACATTATATATATTCTCAATAAATTATAAATTATTTTACTTTTTATATATTTATAAATTATTAATATTTGTTTATTAATTACATATCCCCATTTAAGTGAAATTTTTCATCCGCTAAGATAATAATCCCCACCATTTTACCTGCTCTTTGAAACTTTGAAATGCCAACTACACATTCTGGTGGCAACAAACTGGACCACGGGACAAAGTGGCATTTGAAATAAACTTCAAGTTGATGGTCCCAAGCAACCCAACCACTATTTCCCCATTATTATTGCATACTACCATAATCCCCAGAGTGTATCTTGCTGTCTACTTATGCAAAATTATACTTTATTTGTCAATTAGCATCGTTAAAATAAAAAGGCCATCATCATACTTCACTGTCATCCAAAGAAGAGATGAACAAACACCAAAAGACTAGAAGGTACGTACCAACATGCTTTCCTTACTTCCTATCTTTCCCATTTGCAGATGCAAATTGTGAGTTTGACAAAGGAAAAGAAATCCTCCAAAGACTTTAGTTGAAAGGACTTTTGTTTTGCTTTCTTTCCCATTTCTCCCTACACCTCAAAAGAATTGTACCTACCCTCCAAATTAGCCACCATACTTGTTCACAAAAGTTTGCATACATCTCTCTCAGTAGCCCACTTTATTACATCAACTTACCACTTACATTTTCATGATACAATGTTGTAATTGATGCAATTATATAACAATCTACTAGAATCATAATTTAAGCTCCAATCGCCTATACAATCTTTCTGATCTTTGTGGTTGAGAAATTAACATCATTAACAGAATCAGACAATTACGCCATCATGATACTGTGCTTCAGATATCGCATCAATAGTTGGCATTGCGTGTTGCTAATTGCCACATCTAAATTGTCCATGAAATTTTAGTAGTGCGTTCTTTACTATGTCTTTGTTACTGAAATAAAGACATCAGTCAACTTTACAACACAAACTTTACTCTTTAATTTGTATGTTTTACCTTGCATACTGATATATCATATTTGATAATGTTATCAATAATCAAAGATTTTGAACCCATGAACACTACAAATTCACACAAAAAGTGATAGAAACGGGCATGTTCCAATAACACATTAACGTACACCACTTGTAACGATATACATTCAATAATAAATAAAAGACAAAAAGATGAAATGATGAGAGAATTTGGAAGAAATTTGGGGATTTTGTAAGTGTTATTGATGCCGTTGGTTTCGTCCTCTACGAGCTTCTGCAACAGTGGGTTCATGGGAGTCGCAGACTTGGGTTTTGAACTTGCATCCGAACTTCTTCCGCCATCCTCCTCCGCCCTTCTGAGCACGGTCGTCGTCGCCGCCGCGGCCGCGGCCGCGGCCGTTCGTTCCGGTTTTATCGATCTTCTCGATTGCTCTTTTCATTGTGGAGCACTCACGCTCCAGGTCCTGCACTCGTGTTCTCATGCTATCCATGTCCAGTCGCAGCACTTGATTCTGTCGCACTGCCTCCCTCCACGTGCTGCTCCCTTCCTGTCCACGTGCCGCCGTCACTACCACTCCGCCGCCGGCCCCTGCCTCTTCCTCCTCTTCGCCTTCTATATCGATATCCGACGGACGTCCTATCTCTCCTTGCGGCACGTCTGCGGCTAGTAGAGTTCCGGCGATAGCATGCCGGAGTTGAAGTTGCTCGAAAAATAGTACTTGAACGACGGCTCTGAGCGGAAGCCGATCGTTCTGAGCTGCGTGAGTGCAGGCCTCTAATGTCAGTTTCTGGCAATCCATGACTCCGCAAATTCTCTCCCTCTCCTCCTCTGAAATCCATGGATGTGCCTGTATAATGGATTAGGGTTAAATTAATGAAAATGAAAACTAAGTTTCAGTATATTATCTCCGGTAGATTCAATTTTATTACCTTTAGATATACGTCAACGGCTCTGTAGAGGCCGTCGTCGAAGAGTCTAGCTTGGTCCGGCAGAGAAACGGCGAGTTCGCAAAACTTCTCCGGCTTCAAATTAGAGTCGGAGGCAATTTCAGATAAGTAACCGTCGATCAATTTTCCTACTAACATTACGTCTGCAGATCTGACACTGTCGTGCTCATCCTCGCCTTCGATTCTATTGACTGATCCCTCTTCTAAACCGCTTAGGAAATAACCTAAAATTCTCTCAACACAGTCTACATCGTAGAGAGTTTCGTTTAGATAGGAATAGCTGGGAATGAGAAGATCGTCGAGCGTAGCTTGCTCCAGCTGCGATCCGATTTTTCTCTCCAGTGCCGATCTGCAATTCTCTGAAGCATTGAGAATGTTCGCCGTTCGCAGTAATCCGAACAGAATTCGAGTGACTGAGGATGCTCTAGAGCTTTTCTCTGTCGGGAGATTAGCGATTATAGTCTCGAGAAGTTCTCTCTGCTCGTTCTCTGAAGGTATGGAAGATGAAGACGTCTTCCGGCTCGATCGTGAAAGTCCTGGAATGTATTTCTTTGCATAGTACATTAAACAGCTTTCGATAAATTCTGGATTCAAATCTCGGCCTTTCATCGCGAGAATCAAACGCTGGAACAAAGGTAAGCTCAAATGGCCAAGCTCTTCACACCACGAGTCCGTTGCGCCGCCTCTGGAAGTGCCTTTCCGGCGAGTATTGGCTTCCACGCCGTTCCACAAAGGTTGGTTGAGAACCGCTTTCCGGTTGGCAGCGCCGTCGCTCATCGGCCATCCGAACAACGACGGATCTGCAGAGGAAGCTCTCGCCGCGATAGCATCAATGCATCTCTGAACAATGCCGAGCGTCTCCGCCAACGGCAGGAGCTTCTCGCAGGAGTTGAGTGTTTTAATGGAGTCCTTGATACTCTTGAGGACAGTCTGAGAAAGGAACCTCTCAGTCTTGGAGATGAGATTTTCCTCGGAATATTCCTCGGTCATCTCCAGATACTCGCCCGCGCACCGGAGCGGAGCCACGTTCGATGCCGACAAGTCAATCTTGACGCCGTAGCAGAACTTGGCAGCCGCCTCGAAAGTCTCGGAACCGCCCGGAAAATTAGGGAGCGAGATGTGACATTGCAGCTCCTCCTCATCCTCCTCCACACCCTCGTCTTCAACGCCTTCTTCCTCTATCTCTCCGTCGCCATCGCCGTCGCCATCTGGTTTTTGGACTCTAGCACCACTGGGTTTTGTCTCCTGCTCTGTTATCAATTCATGAAGCTTTCGACTTTTCGACATCAAAGGAAACTGAGCCGACAAAAAACACAGAAACAACTCCATGAGTCTATCAATATATACACTGGAAGTTTCATTGGTAAGGGAAGAACACAAACAAACCTTGTGAAGATGGAAGGTCATGTCATCTGCTTCGATTACCACATCGCTGGGCAACCCAGTAGTGCAAAACCTGAGAAAAAGAAAGAAGAATCAATAGAAATAAAAGCTAAACTCTAAAGTACACAGAGCAAAAGTTGCATTTCTGCTCACCATGCTTGCCCTTTGGAAGTGGGTTTTTCAGAGTCCATTTTCCCGGAGCTGTAAACGGAAGAAATTAAAAGCTCAGTGCAAAAGGAGAAACTATGCCAGATCCATGGAGTTTCGCCTTGTAGCAGCGCTCAAATAAGGAGGAGAAGCCCAGAAAAACAGAAAAAAACGGCGATGGATTTGACTAAAAATCCTCTTGACTTTACGAAAGTAGTACAAGATAGCAGAAGAGGTCGTCTGCAATGATTATAGCGGTTGAAAAATCACGCCAAGAAGACGAGAACAGAGAAAAACGGAGTGAAAAAAGAAAGCAATGATGAAATAAGAAGGTTTTTCTTTTCCCTTCCCTTCTTTTGCCCCTCTCTCTCTCTTTCTTTCTTTATTTCTTTCTCTCACTGTGCAGCGCTGTGTGGGGGCGGAGTTTCAAGAAGAGGAGAGAGAAAGAGTGGAGGGTTCAAAAAGGAAAGATGACTTTGAAGTTTTCGTTGCTACACAGGAGAGGAGAGGAGAGGTGGATTATTATTATGATCGTGATTTCTTCCTGCAACCCCAGACAGACGCTATCGTGACTGCTTTTTGAAGGGACGGTAATTCTTAATATTTTCCTTTTGCATTTATTTATTTATTATTTTATTATTTTTGGTTGTTGCATGAGGGTAGCATGAATTGGAACCCATTGGCCATTGCATCCAATCATGCCTTAATTGATTACATTCAATACGTTTTTGTTTTAATTGTGGTGGTGTAAATATATTCGATTAAAAAACGGATAAAATTACGTTTGATTGAGTATAAACGAGAGCTTATCAACTGGACTAATTAACCACCTTAACAAATTGAGTGAGCACTAGTACCTTAATGGAGTAGATTGTGAAACTTATTAACTTTTACATGATTCACTTAATACTTATGGAGTCAAAGTTAATGGACGAGGAAAGAGTATAATACGGGCAGAGAATATGAAACGTTTAAGATAGTTTCAAAGAGAGAAAAAATAATTTAAATTAGATGATTTTTAAATTATAAATTAGTCAATAAAAACATGTCACATTGTACATACTATATTTATATCATTGAGAATATGATTTGTTTTGAGCATCTGTCACATTTAATTTGATGGTATGCATCTTGTTTTTCCATCAATGAATGAATGGTACAACATGTATGTACCTGATTTATCTCATAAAGTATGTTCTTTATATAATGTTATCATAATTGTTACGTTTAATTTGATGCTATGCATCAATGAACATAAATTTGCAATTTTAATTAGCTATTATTTATATAGTGCAAGTTTTTTCTATCTTATAAAATCGAGTCATATCCTATAAAATAATTATTATATTTATTATAAATACAATTCTTATTTTACAAAGATACTAGATGATTTTTTATTTATGTTTAATAAGAAAACATGGTAAAAAAAATGTGCACATAACTTGAATATTAAAGAAAATTTATATGGTGTCAAATGACGATAATGGCATAGGCCCAAACGATCTAATAATATACCTGAAAGCTCAAAAGACATACGACAACTCATTTCATGGAATTAACATGGTCAAAGTAATGTTGGAAGATAATTAAGGTAGAAGTTACACATTAAAAAAAGACAATAAATGATAATTCTGCAATTAAGGAAAGCCAATCAATCGACTTCAATGACCTCCTCATTCCATCAATCATGCCATCTTACCATAAATATGTTCAATTACCATACACATTACTTATTCCCCTATTGTAAATGACCATGGTCAAAGATTTGGATAGGGCATCAACATGATCAATCTACATTTACATCTCCATCCTTGGATTTTACTTCTTTTTTTTTTTTTTTTTTTTTTTTTTGTTGTTCAAATGTATCCTTCCCGTCGATACCCGGAAGATTAATCCTCCGTCCCAACGGTCAGCACACTAAGGTGGTAGGGAACTGACCAAACAATTTGCTCCATTCATATGGGTGGGGATCGAACCTTTTGACTTTACTAAAACCTCCCTACACTCTCCCAAATTCCATAAAACATCTCAAGACCCGAAGACCGAGAGCTCTAAATAAACGTACACCTATAAACACCTCAAAATATAGAGAATTTTCTTTGACACCACAGAAAAATACTCATAGTTTTCACCTTACAATTTATATTTGATACTAGTATGTATCTTGGATAATAAAGTGTACTATGTATGCTATTTGAATACTATCAACATCGGTGTCAATAATATTTAGTACAACTAAATGTATCATATACATGACTATTTGTACTAAAGATGTTGGTGCCAACTGCCAATCAACACCTTAAAAACCCCTAAATGAGTAAATGGTAATTGTTTTGCTCTGAATTTTTCTATATTACAAATTTCTTTTCTATTTATTTAAAAATGTTAATAAATGATAGGGATTACAAAACATCATTTGACTATTGTCGAAGTAGTAGCTTATAGCTAGAATATGCAGTAATGGCATAATTGAGCCTTCACGTTGCCGTCATCATTAACGTTTGATTTAGCTCCCTTGTCTGACTATTATTTTAATCAAAGTCATTAAAGTTTTGGTTGATGGGAGCAATGATTTATGGATTATGGGACTCTTATGAGTTATGACATATTGATAAGATCAACCATACAATAAAATACAAATGATATCATTTATGCTTTAATTTTATTTTTTTTTTAAAAAAAAATTATAATTCACTTTGTTAATTTAGTTTCAATTTAAGATAAATAAGATTAGATTCTCATACTAAAATTTAATTAAATTTCCCATTTTATCCTCCGCAGTCCTCACCTAGTCACCTCAACACAAGCCTAAGAGTATAATTAGCACTCTTTATCATTAAATTACTAGAATTATCAAAATAGGTTGAATTAGACCTATTTAATGTATTACGATTAAAAGTGAGGTGGTAAGATGACATGTTTAGCTTGACAACCCACGATTAGGCAAGTTGAGAAACCCATTTTCAAAATTGGGCCAACTCAAATTGATTAATTTTTAATTTGTACATGTCACATCGGCATGATCTAAATATAGATAATCGATATAAATATACAAAATTTTATCTTTTTATCCCTATATATTATAACGGACTAACGGAGTATGTATGCATGTTTGTGTATATACATTACACCAATTCGTTCTCATTTTAAAGCCTATGTTAAGGTAACTTGCAAGAGTAGAGAAATAATCCTAGTCTCTTTCATCAAATCATTTTATCGATAACTTCTTACCGTTCTTTACTCTCATTAGACTTTAACACCGTGAAAAGCAAGAATAATCACAATTAATTGGTGCATTTTCCTTTTGGCATGCATTTTGATGAATGAGGGAAAGCATAAAAGGAAGACAGTGATAAATGGCATTGAAGTCAGGTCTGAAAGCAAAAACATGGTGGGAAGCCATTTTTATTTTCCCATATAGTAATTAGTGTGACAAACAAATCTACCAAAGTGAGTGTACCATCCTTTCCTATTCATTAAATGCTGTCCGACTGTCCTAAATGGGTTGACAGTTGGAGCATTTACTAAACATTCTACCCACCATTTTTTTTTCAAATTTCAAATCATTTTTAATACACATATAGAGTCGGGTTCCTGTGTGGTCGTGCGGTCAAGCATCATTTAGATATGCAAGAATGCACCATGACGTGTTTACAAATGTGGTGTATTTCTACACTTCATCATAGTGCATTTTTGAACACGTTGTGGTGCATTTATGCATAACTAATGGTGCATGACCGCATGTCGCAGAGTTGTGTATTTGTGCATTTCACCCTATGCATTTCTGAACACGTTATGGTGCGTTTGTGCATACCTAATGGTGCAATTCGCACGGCCACACGGGAACAGAACGCCACATTTGAACACACACACACACACACACATATATATATATATATATATATATATATATATATATATATATAACACGCTTTTTTTTTCCTTTTCACAGTCACTGTCAAGAAATCTGGAATTAGTACAGTAATATTTGTTTATTCATCCACCTAACATCATAGAAAAAATATGATTTTAAACGTAGTTTCTGTATACAATCAAGAACTGACCAATCTTTTGCTGTGAGCCATTATAATCATCACTTTTCTCTCTTTTTTTAGACATTATTAAAAAAAAAAAAAAAAAAAGGGATTTGGATTTGAAATGCTATAATGCTACATGTAAGAATGTCATAAAGAGAAGGTTTATGGGCATGTTGACTGAATAAACACTGATTTTGATGATTTACCATGTGATTGATTTTCTCCTTAAGTGGATTACAAACAGAGTGGCTTCATCTTCTTTTTCATTGATTGGTTATTCATCTTATCTCATAACTCTATTTCCAATTATTAGCTCACAAGATTGAATAACCAATTCTCTACCAAACCCTCAATTCAATTGTTTTCCAAGAATGTTGTATCGGATTTGTAAGTCATGTATATATCTCGGAAGAACTTAAATTTAAAAAAAAAAAAAAAAAAAAAGCTTTCAATTTTTTGCATGACTCTGTTACATTATGGCATCTGTCCACTGGGGTTCAAACTTGTGACTCCCATTTGAGAAAAGCACAGTTATGCCGCTTGACTAAAGATTTTTGGCATTAATGTGGTTGTATAAAAAATTATTTTTAGAAAATAAATTTATTATAAAGTGTGTAAATAATTGAACATTTTTATTCCAAGAATATGACCTACTTTTTTTTTTTTTTTCTAGAAATGATGATTAAGTGACAGCAGGGTATTAATTCATTAAATTAGGCATGATTTTTATAATGAGCATTAGCATCCTAGTCCTGCTATTAACTGGTCAACAAATGGACAGTGAAATGCCAAAATTAAAGCCAATTTCATGGACAAAATACTTTATATTTAGTGCCCGTAAATTTGTCTGTTTTCGCAACTCCCATTAAATGATGTTTCATGTGTGTACTCTGTAATTACTTAATTATTTTTTGGTTCATATAAATAAATATATATTAATATATATTATTAAATATTTTAAATTTATGGATATTGTTAAAATCTGGAGGGAAGTTTAACCAATTAATCTTGCATTGGCGTTGTGCTGATTGTGTGCAAAAAAAGTATATTCTGGTATGGGTTTCGAAACTAAACATGTTTAATTTACCTCATCAATCAACATAGGCTTAGGGGCAGGTTCATTGGTTCAAGATATAGTTCGATTAAATTGAAAAAATTCAAGTTATATAATAATAACATTCGAAGTTCGATTATTGTCACGAACATTGTAAATTTGAATTTAGGTTGGACTCATTTTGTACAGAAATGTAAAGTTTATTGTTGAATCTTAAAGTTAAATTGACTCAAAAAATAATACTCCTTCTTGAAAAAAAAAAAAAGGATAATAATAATAATCCGTAATAAAGAGCATTGTGCACTTGTACCGTAACAAGGTTGAGTGCACGTAGTGTTGATGTTGAGACAAGAGTGCACAGGCCCCCATGAGTATGAGCAACGGTTAAAATTAATTTAATTCGTGCACCCTGCGCAGGCTTACGAAACTCAAGCCCACAGCCCCTTTTTTATGACACAAATTTACTCACTACTTTCCAACATATATTTAATGAAATTGCTACTTCTGAGATATGTTCAAAGTTTTCGGCCAATATCTTAAATGGTGGGAAAATTTGAATGTGAACATTTTTGGAAGAAAAATTATGCTCCAATTGGCCGGTCATTCACCCATTCCTTGCTCTGTTTGTCTTAAATGTTGTTTAGAAGGTGAGGGTTCAATGTATTTTTTTCGTAATCGCTATCTAAAAATGTACATACTAGAAAAGTAAATTATACTAATAAAATCTTGTGATTAGGCTCGACTGAGAGTATCAAACTTGTGACCTTCTAATACGAGAATCATGTTTCACTCACTTAATTACTCATTTCAGGACAGGTTCAACGTATCTTGACACTCAAGTATGTTGATATAATTTGATCACAAATTCAAGATATCAATCTTATCTCTATATAGTCAATGATGGAAGCACCAAAATATTTGTGATAACTTCTATATTTGATTAAGAGAAAAAAGGAAATTCTATCCAAAAATTTAACACGCCTATGGGTCTAAACAATTATTGGGCATTTCGTATGTTATCCTAATTGTCCAATTCAGAAAGTAAATTGACTGGAGGCTACGTTAGCCTAGTGATTTTGCAAGTGGTTGGTGTGGCTATTGCCTATTGGTGCAGGAGAGAATCCATGATAAGAGTTTTTAAGGTAGCATATAAGCAAGATTTTAGCCAAAGACTAGACAACAAAACCAAATGACAACAGACAAAACAAAGCCAAAAATGCTCTTCACCACATTACATCGTCAAGTCATGTAATAAATAGCACACAACTTTGAGGCAGACAATAATACCTTGAGAGAGCATCTTCCTCAACATACGTCCAAAGAAGACAAAACCAGAAGTAGTTGGTTACTCTTGTCACTCCATCACTGCAAATTCATGTTGTTAAATTAAATAAAATAGGGCATGATACACATTGGGAAGTTTATGGTTAGCAAAGCATAAGTGCAGAATATACCTAAAACTACAAAATATAATACAAAAGCAGCAATGGATCAAAGTTCAACCGAGAGAACGGAGTAGAAATATTGCAGAGTAGACATAAGTGCAGAATACTGTTTTGGGCCGTTCGGCCATACAACTATATGAGGTAAAGGTAGGAAAAGGGCAGTACATTCATAGAATGAAATGACTCAGACACAACAGCAAATTTCTGATCACCATAGCATGCCTTTAATTCATCGAATTGGCCACAGGTAGTGCGAATTAAAGTTGGGGATGCAAGATGCTTCAGGATGTGCTCCCTTCGCCATTATTTGGAGGATCTAGAGAAGGTCTTTTCACCGGCTTAGACTCTGATGTGATTGGGTTTAGATTAACTCGCTTGACCCCTCTTCCCACCACACCAAGATGTGTGACTCCAGATGCACCATTTGTTGTATGGGCGGTGGAAGCAGTTGGGGAGTCAAAATCTCCATGACTATTAATAGTGGCGACTTGTGAAGAGCTCATTGCTACAGATGCAGAGCTTTTCTCAGCACCTTTTGCCTTTGCAGCAACAATTCCAAGGATATCTTGGAGGATAGATGTTGGGTTGGAGACAAGCTGGTTAAGTTCTTCAAGCTGCAAATGAAAGATGACGAGTTACATTAAAAAAAAAAAAAAAAAAGAATCTTGACACATATAAAGTCAGTCAGAAGTGGGCAGACTTGCCTTCTTTTCTAGTTCACTACAGAGACCAGTAAGTGTTTTAATTTCTGCTTCATTATCCTGGGAAGAATCAGTTGACTGTAACATTTTGGATGACTCTGCAGCAGTAGACTCTGATGATGGCATTGTGAGCCGTTGCACCCTTGACTTGCAAACTGAAATAGCTTTTTCACAGTATGGGATGGCCTCCTGGGGCCTAGAACCAATTTCCAAACACAGGCATATCCTGAAGTTTCTGTTACCCAGTTAAGTAATTGATTTTGCAGAAACATCAATAAAACTATAGCACATTAACATCTCTCCAGAGCCTTAAAATCAATTAGGAAGATTCTTATAAAAAAGGATACAGCTCAGCAATATGCCGACTGTCAGGTTCCACTAAGCGCTCCAAAATGGATAATGCCTTCAGGTAATCATTGAGTGAAGTTTCAACATCCTCTGCAAGGAGTAAAACAAGGATGACAGGACTAAGTAGAAAGTAAATAAATGACACAGTCCATATCCTACTCAAGTAGGGAAATTAAGAAGCTTATCCAAAATAATGTATACAGACCCCTCTCTAAAGCAACCTCTGCTAGAGCTGACAATATGTCTACTTTCTCCATAGTGTCCCCAGACTGTTTTTCAACAATTGCCCTAGCAACATCCAGCATTTTCCATGCCAGATCCAGGTCTGATTCATCCTCTTCCTCATCTCCACATACATTGTCCCCAAGATCAGACTCGATCTTCTTTGCATTATCTATCAACAAAACAGAAAAATCATCCTCTACCAATTAAAAATAAAGGTCCTCCAGTAATTCTCTACTTCCTTATTCAAAAAGGAAGTATAAATGCATCACATGCACAGACAAAATCATGATGCCAAATGTACATGATACAATAAAAGCAATAAAAAGTTCATGCTAATAAAACAGAGAAACAAATAAAACAGGAACAAATAAGAACTATCAAATACTCTATAATACAGTCAAAATACTTACCATCATCTTCTTCTTCATCTTCATTTTCATCATCATCCTCTTCTTCTTTTCCATTTTGTATTGATGTTCCACCTTGTTCAGTGGGATTTGCAACAGAGGATTCAGCACTTATGCCACTCTTAGCAGGTTCATCTTTACAGGAATTTTGTTGAGATTCCTCCTCCTTTCTAGGCACAGAACCCAATGGATCAGCTTCCTCTTGAGCTTTGTACAACAATGCACATCCAAATTTATAGTATGCTTGCACACATTCAGGAGAAAGCTCCCCGTGATTCATAGCCCTGGATAAAGTTCAAGTGTGGGTCCTTAGATAGGAGAACTATGCAGAATGAAGAAAAGACTCCGAAAGCCTTCTCGTGATGGTTACAGAAATTTCTTTCTAAGCGTATGTGAACACGTTCCTTTCAAGCTCATGCAATAATTTATTCAATCCGTGTAAAGCAACTGATTTCAAGTGAGGATAGTAGCAAAATGCGAAGAAGATCAGAATGATCACACTTCAAACTGAACTCAGGTCTAATGAAATAGCAATACTTTTTTTTTTTTTTAACTCGGCTTTATAATCACCTAACCCTCTCGAAGAACACAACCAAGATTGTTGAAAACTAAAGCAATCGGTAACAGATGACTGGACACAAGCTCTATGTAAACTGAAGCTGGCAGTTCGTTAACGACGAAATGGGAGTGGAATTCGAATAGCTAATTAAATAAAAACGAAAATAGCAAAACCCTAACCTGATTTCCAGCGCACGGCTATAGCATTCAGTGGCTTCAGTATAATCTTTGTCTTTAGAAGCCTTGTCCCCTTGTTTCGTCAGCAAATCCGCGTGCTCCAGAGATCCAACAGAGGGCTCCGACGAGTGCTCACCATTTCCGTTGTTCTCAGAGTCGGAGCGCCCGAGCGTTATAACGCCCGCGTCCATGGAGTCCGGAATCCTTTCCGGCGAGGAGCCTTTGCCTTCTGAATTCACAACCTCGTCCGCCATTGACGAGAGACGACAGCGAAAACCTAGCAGACAGAAACCCTACACTTCCCTCCCCTTTTTCAAAACGAAAACCCCTCAGGCGCAAAAAAATGAAGTCCAGAAAATGCTTCTCCCCTGTCCGTATATGACGATGGGGAGAGAGAGTGTGTCAGCTCTTACGACGTCGTGTTGTGATTTTCTCTTTCCCCCTAACCTAAGTGTAAATTACACTCTCTCCCTATAATTTTTCATCATTTCAAATTGCCCCATAATATATTTTTTATACTTACTACCCTTGCATCCGCATCTCGTAAGATAAAACTAATCCAGTTGAGTTAATCGAGTAAGGTGACCGCCATCAATGATATATTCTTTAAGTTCAAATTGTACTTTTTATTCAAATAGAGATTTGATTGTTGCTTCAATCATATATGTATTCACGTTTGACATTTCTTAGTGCAATTAATGGTAAACAAAATATAATTTACATTTTAGCTGTAAATGATTATATTTATAAGAGTTTTTAAAAATTGACACGTATGGTTATTATTTTTATATTTGTCAAAATTGGTAATATTATAGTAAAATTTAGCGAAAATGGTCAAATAGAATATCAAGTTTCATACCTTCAAAAAAAAATCAGAAAATTTAAAAAGTTACAATCAAACAAATCAATTCGTTGACTTGATGCAATTAAACTGATAACTTGTTAAATTATTACGGAGTACAATGATATCAAATTGCCAATAAACCTAGAGTTAAAATCAACAAAACTTGCTAATGTATGACTTTGAAATAAATAAATAAATAAAGTTTAAACAAATTGTTTATTAATTTATTTAAATAAATATTGTTAAGTCAACATTTTTACCATTATCTTTAGGTAACACACTATTTGATTTAATTATATCAAATTAATAAAATTGATGTGTTTAATTATAACTTTTAAAAGTAAGGAACTTAATTATTTTTTTCGTATAAGATTTGATGGTGTGTAGTACTATTTTTCCTAAATTTTAATATCCTAAAGTGTAAATATGAAACCATTAGGGGGACGTTATTTTTATTTTTTCATATCTTTATATAATTTCTCTAAGGAAAAAAACCGAAAAATGCGAGACCACAAATTCAGTTAGCTGTCGCGAAGTTTGAGAGGATCAGTTTGATTGCATAGAGACTGGCAGTTGCCATGGCTTCCGCAAGCTCAATTCTCGCGCCGACATTTCCAGTTCGCTGCATGCGTATCGCCGCCGATGCTACTTCCGGCAAGCCGCACAGCACTAAAGCTTCGCCGGCGGCTGTCACCGGGCGGAGGCAGTGGATAGTGCTGCTCACGGCGACGACGGCGCTGAAGGGAATGGAAATGCCGTCGAGAGCGGAAGATATCGGGCTGTTTGGACTTAGGAAGAAGCTGAAGAAGGTGGAGGAGGAAGCGGAGTTGCTAGTGAAGGAAGGATTCGAGGCGGCGGACAAGGGAATAGTAGCAGCAGAAAAGGGGATTGAGGCTGCGGAGACAGGATTATCGACGGCGGAGAAGGGAATCGAAGCTGCAGAGAAAGAGATTGAGACGACGGTGAGCTTCGGAGCATTAGCACAAGCTGGCGCGGTTGCCGCAGCAGAATTTCTCGGAATTCTAATCGCCACTTCAATCGTTAACGGTATTTTAGGGCCTGAAGCTCAAAAATCTTGAAAAATTCCTTATATTTCTCTTTAATCATATATGTTATCAACACTGAAATTGCTGATTTGCCAATGAAATTGCTACTTGCTTATAGTCATTGATTCCTGAATAGTGATATATAATTATATAAATTAACACTCATATTTTGGAATAGGCTAAATCAGGTTGTTAGAAGAATAGAAGTTACTGCATTGCTAAATGACTCTAACCAATTGAAAGAATCATCTGATCAATCCAGAGGCCATTTGGATTTGAAATGAGAATTTGAAAGTTTACAGTATCTGCTACCTAAACTCTAGTTTTAGGTTGATCTAGCTAGATGATCTAAAAGAGTAACTGCTGATTGAGAACTTTCTTCTCTCAACCATGGATCATGGACTGAAACTGGAGATGCATCATCTATTACCTCCATAGTAGACAGGGCACTACCTACTCTCTGTGAAAGAATCAGCCTCCTACTTCCCAGCACTCTATTAGACAAAGCGCGTGTTGATTTCTCACTGCCACAAGCCCAAGATGAACGGGAGGATGATCTCGAGGATACCTTGCTTAAAATTCCGTCGGCTGGTGGCTGACCACTCTGCCTGTTCTGTTCTAACTCCTCCGCCACTTCTATCATTGAAGGTCTCATGTCCTTGTCGAAAGCAAGGCATGTGAAAGCCAGCTCCGCTACTCTGTGGATTGATGACAATGTCCAGGCGTCCCTGTGTGGCTCGAGGAATGGATCTATTATCTCATAGAGAAGTCCTTTTGCTATCCTGTCGACAGCAACTGCTGATAAATTGATCTCACTGGGAGGTCGAGAGAAATCAACCACCTTCTTTGCTGTTATGATTTCCACAAGAACTACGCCAAAGCTGTACACATCGCTCTTATCGGTAAGATGGTAGTTCTGGTGGTAGTGAGGATCCAGGTAGCCCGGAGTACCTCGTGGCACTGTGGAGATGTGGGATTCATCCGCCCTACCAAATCTCGAGAGGCCAAAGTCTGCTACCTTCGAGTTGCAGTTGAGATCTAGAAGTATGTTACTGGACTTAATATCTCGGTGATATATTGGAGGACTCATTGCAGAGTGAAGGTGAGCGATTGCACGAGCAGTTTCTGTGGCAATGTTGAGACGCATTTCCCACGAAAGTCCTGAGCCCTGTACTCTATGTAGATGCTGAAATAGAGTTCCATTGGGCATGAATTCATAAACAAGGATTTGCTCATCATTCTCGACGCAGCAGCCTATAAGCTGGACTAAATTTGGATGGCGTACAGAAGAAATAAGCTTGATTTCATTCATGACATGTTCCACACCATTCGGCCCATGACACTTTAGTTTCTTAATAGCAACTCGACCAAAGCTGCGGAGCTTTGCTGCATATACTGTGCCATAAGCCCCTGATCCGAGCATCTTTTTCTCAGAAAACCCATCTGTAGCTCTCTCGATTTCTTTGTAGGGAATGCAAGGAACGCCAGACCCGCCTGCAGCTTCTGAAAGGAAGCGCATTGCAGCGTATCGTTTCTTCAGAAATGCAGATCGCCTTCGAATGCAGCAGCAGAGAAGATTCAAGAGAACCACCACCCCGCAAGCCCCAGCTGCAAGCCCTGTTAGTCGCAGCAGAAGATTGCAATTACAGCCAGGTACCAAAGTGGTTAATAAAGTTCAGAAATGAGAATTACCTCCTATGAGAATTATGACCCTTTTTTCACCGCATTTGCCTTGCATGAAGTTTTTAAAATTGCAATTAGGACCTGGCGATGTGGCTATCAACAAAGGTAAACAGTTAAAAGTTAAAATACAAAATGTCAGCTATAAGTTAACACTTAACAAGATGAAGATGCTCAAGAACTTGAAATTTCAGAGGCATTTGTGTAACCAACATGGTTGGCGTGGTGGTTCAGCACCTCATCCCTTAAGCAAGAGGTTGGGGGTTCGAACACCCCACCCATGTGAAGGGGGATTAATCTTCTGGCTATCGGCTGGAGGGATACGTTGGGCAACAAAAACTTGGGAGAAACTAGAAGTGTCTCCTTCTTAGTTTGATCTTCAGCTATGACTCTATGAGCAACCTAGACTGGATTACCTCATTGTGGTGAGAAACTAGAAATGAAAATAAAAATAAAAATTATTCACCTCTCCTGCAACCATCACCATCAGCGAAGCCATCTCCGACGAATCCGTCATTACATTTGCACCGGAATCCGTATCTCCCGTCGGGAAGCCGAACGGACACACATCCGGCGTTGACATGGCAGCGGCATTTCCCTTCTAACCACCACACCAGCTCCGCCGTATGAAATCTCAGCGACAAACCCGGAATCTTGCCCGTACCGAAATCCACGGCCAGGGACGACAGCGCGACGCTACAATTCCTCCTCTTCAGCCGCTCCAAATCCAAAAAGTCGTCATCTCCACGCGACTCCGAGTAACAGCTCACCCTCTCACTCTTCAGATCACAATCCCCCTTAACGAACCGCGTGTTAACCAGGCTCGCCGGCGGCGCGCAGTCGGTGAGCGGCTTCACACAGTTCGACAACAGAATAACGTTCCACCAAGCGACGGCGAAGTTCCTGCCGTTGAGTCCCCGGAGATTCTCAACCGAGCGGCTGCAGTTCCCCGGAACGCTAACCAGTATAGTCTTCGACGTCAAATTCATCACCGGAAAATCCCCGATTCTGATATCTCCATGGTCTCTGCAATTCAACCGTATCCCACAGCCTTCAGAGAATCCGAACGGATAAGGGACTTCTTCATGATAACCTGCAGATTTGCAGAAGCGATCGCATTTCATCAAACTATTCGCCCCAGCTGATAAGACCATATTACAGAACACAACTCCGAGGATTAAGCGGCGGAAACCCATGATTCAGATGAAGGAATCATCTGAATCCTGCACGGGAGTGACGGATGTTAGCAGAAACCCAGAAAAGCAAATGAATGGTCACGTAAAAAAAGTAAAACTTTGACTTGGGAAGGCGCCATTAATGGAGATATTATAGATGGATGATGCACCTAAAAGGGAAAGTTAAAATATTTCAATAAATGCACATTACAAATTTTCCATACAACTCTGATCCCACCGGAGAAAGGGTTACTTATTCCAATTATAAATATAATAAATCTGATGTAAACCTGTAACCTAGTTAGCCTGACAATTGACCGGATAATCACAACATTTTTTTTTAAAAAAAAATAATAAAATAAAAAATCTGGAGAGCTAGCTAGTTTACTTTCTCGTGATTTTTTACCGAGTAAAAAAGAGTGCATTTTCGTGTAGCATTATCATTTTGTTTAAGTTTACAAATTTTTGAGAGACCATCAATAGGCTAATGCCCAACTTTTTTTTTTCTTTTATACTAATGTTATAGGCTTGGTTGTATTTCACCCAATATGTTTGTTAGTAATCAAATTATGTGAGTTTATTTATTTTATTTTTTTGGAAGGCGGTGAGTATGATTAACCGTTTTAAATTTTGAAAAAAAAAAAATTGATTATCGATTAATGTTCAAACATTTTAACAACTATACCTAATAACAAACTTAAAAGATCAATTTTTAGTTGAATTTATATAATTATCATAAAATACACAAATTTAATGTTTTATAACTAATAATGATTAGCAGGCATAATATGCCATGTGCAACAAATAGTTTTTTCCATAAAAATAGTTATATGGAGCCAACGGATTGGTTTGACAAAACAAGATCGAATCTCGCAAGAAAGCAACCCACCATGATTCCGTGAATCTTGGTCGGTATTCCATGAATTAGTGGATTTCGATAGGGATTAGGCTAACCGTAATTTACCGAACTTGCTTGTAGCTTAGGGTTTAAAGATGTCTAATGCTATTTGGTCCTCAGGATAGATGATTGAGTAGATAAAATATGATGTTCGTATCAGAAATTTAGGAATTTCATTTATAAGTCGTGTTTGTTTTGCACGATATTTCTAATGTGAAAAGTCATGCATTTAATTCACCGATCGAGCTGAGTCAAATTTTAAGTTTGGATTGGGCAACTCAAGTCATGCACTTTTGGCTTTCTTCTAAACTGCTTCTCAGCTTCGTTTGGCAAATTTTTCTGTGAACTATGAATACAAGATATATTTTTAATATATTAAAAGTATATTATTTAATAATAATATATTTTTAATACTCAAATAATGTACTTTACGTATACAAATAACATATTTTTAATATATTTAAAATATACTCCGTATATTTTTATTTATGATTTATGACCACAAATCTATGTGGACCCTGGTCCATAAAATTATGATGGGCTTTCTTTAATTTGGGCCGCCCCACGATTTTTATTTTGTGATTGGGCCTCATTTTTAATTTTATATTTAAATAAATATATCTTTCTTCGGGTAAATTTGCAGGCAAAAACCCTAACATCATCAACCTTTATCCTCCTCGAGTTAGAGGGACAGCAACAATAGAAATCTCAATGTCGGGGCGAGGAGACGATAGTGAGTCTGATGCCCCCGAGGAGTTCACTTCTTTACAGGGCATCGAGCAGGACGAGGAGATAAGAAAAGTTGAAAGAGAGAACAAGGCCAGGTATTATGCTCCATTATCTTCCTAGTTATTTTATTTTATTATTTTTTTTGGGTGCAAAATCCTTTGCTTTTCTACTTCTGCAAATCTAAATCCCCATTTGATTTTGTTTATATATTTCAACCAACGTTGTCAGTTAACAGTTTCTTGGATAATTTGTTGTTCTTTGTTATGTTTCTTATTGCTCCGGATGGGAGATTTTAATGTCAATTGTATTATCAAACAAAAAAAAATGTGTTAATTTATCTACGTAATAGACTTTTCTTTTAGTATAGAGGTTAATTGTGTAAGGAGCAAGTTTTGGGTATTCAAAGAATTTGTCTTTTTGAGGCTAGGTGAGGTGGGTGTGAATTAGTATAAGTTTTGCATGACTTTTAGCTGTTGAAATCAGTTGCCAGAAATCTAAGTTTTCAGTTCTCACAGTGTTGAGAAGAAACAATCCTCTTTTGAGCACCTGTTTTCTGCATCCCCATGGGCTCTGATTGTGTTCCTTTCATGGATTCTAATAGATGCCAGCAAGATACTTATTTGCAGGAGCATATGAATAGGGTTTAGCCAAGTTTCCTGTCTCAAATCAACTATTTTGTCAGATAGAGAAACTGTTGTTGCCAGTGTTACATTTATGGTTCCTTCAGTGACAGTTTTATAGTAGAATTAATCATCTTTAGTTTGAATGATGAAATAATCAATCACAATGTGGCAGAATTGTTCGCGAAGCAAGAGAGCGGCGCAGAAAATGGGCTGAGAAGTTAACTCCACGGCCCACACTTGATGATGAAAGCATAGAAGATGCAACAGAATCCGAACAGCCTCGGGAGTCCAAGGATACTAGAGGAATGTTGCCAGATAACATTGTACAACTGCTGGCGGCTCGTGAGAAGTGAGTAAATTTGCTCTGTTAGATGTGCATTAGAAACTCTTTCTCACTTCTTAGTAGTTGGTAAGGAGGAAAGATTCATTTCTCCTGCAGGAAAGTTTTCTCATCGGACTCAGAGGATGAGGAACCTAAGAAAAGTGCGAGCTCCAAAAAGAAAAGGCCGAAGAAATCCGGGTGAGTTTTCTTCCTTTTCCTCTACTGCAATCTCGCTTTGAAAATGCTTACCTTTAACCTATATTTTTCAAGACACGTATGGCGTGCTGAAATATGTGGTCGTGCAATGTTGTGGTATGGCAGGCTAGAAGCGGTTATTCTGAATGAGATACCACCTCCCCAGTGCTTAGAGAACTCACTCGATTTCTTGAAGAAACGGAAGATGCAAGTTTCCAGATCATCTGCTGTTTTGAATAATTCTACTCAAGCATTGCGCCTTCTTTCTAAAACCGGCTTGTTATGACTGCCAATTCATCTGTTATATTGGCAATGTTCTGTTGAGTTGTGTTTTGCCATTTTAGTGCCAATTGAATTATTATAATTAAGCATTCATGCCCTTTGAAAAAATTACTATTCTCTCCCTTCAACAGGAATTTGGTTGCCTTACAGAATACTCAAATTTAACAGTGTATTTAATATATTGATTACATGCTAAAATTTATTAGATAAAAAATGGTTATTCGACATCTTAGTATGTGATAAATTAATAAAGGTGATAATTTTTAACCAATAAAATGGAGGATTTAAACACTTGAAAAATTGGTAGATCCGGTTTCTTGCTTTTTTCCAATATGGGTTTGTTTATTTTACGGAGTAATTTTCTAGTTTTCATTTCTAAATTCTTTTACTCTTCAAATTATATATATATATATATATATATATATATATATATATATATATATATATATATATATATTAAGTAAACAATTTTCTTTTAAGGGTGTGTTTGGAAACCTGGAAAATGAGTTCTGGAAATCATTTTCTAAGTTTTCACTGTTTGGATGTGCGAAATCATTTTCCGTTGACTTTGAAAAATAGGCTTGTTTTGGAGGAAAATGACTTCCCCTTTTTTTTTTTGGGAAGTCATTTTCCAACTTTTACACCAACATCATACCACCACCAACATCATCAACACCATACCACCACCACTACTGCCGCCGTCGCCACCACCGCCACCACACCACCACCATCACGCCACCACACCACCACCACCAACACCATACCACCGCAACCACAACCACCACCAACAACATCAACACCATACTACCACCACCACCGCTGCTACCACCACCACAACCATCGTCGCCGCCACCGCCACCACCATACCACCACCACCACTACCACCACCGCTGCCGCTACCACCACCACCATACCACCGTCACCGCCACCACCACCGCCGTCGCCACCACCACCATACCACCGCAACCACCGTCGCCGCCACCATATCACCGTTGCCGCCACCACCACCATATCACCGCAACCACCACCACCACCACACCACCAGCATCACACCACCGCCGCCCCAGCACCACCATACCATCACAACCACCATCGCTGCCACCACCACCACCACCATACCATTGCCACCACACCACCACTACTACCACCACTGCCGCCGTCGTCACCACCACCATACCACCGTCGCTGCCACCACCACCACTACCACCACCACCGCCGCCGCCGCTGCCACCACCACCATACCACCGCAACCACCGTCGCCGCCACCACCACCACCATACCACCGCTGCCGCCACCACCATACCACCGCAACCACCACCAGCATCACACCACCGCCCCCACCACCACGACCATATCACCGCCGCCACCACTACCACCACCATACCACTGAAACCACCGCCACCACACCACCACCACCACCGTCATACCACCACCAATTATTATTATTATTATTATTATTATTATTATTATTATTATTATTATTATTATTATTATTATATAACAAATAACACCACTACCACTACACCACCATCACCATAATATTTTTGATATATTATTAGTTATTTTTTTATTATATTTAAAATTATTATTATATTATTATACATGTTGTAATATTCTAAATAAAATAATTAAAATGTTTAATTATACAATTCTACTCATTTTTCAGAAAATGAACCAAACACACAAAAATAGTTTTCCAGAATGCAACCAAACACTGGAAAGGAAAATGTTTTCCGGAAAATGACTCATTTTCCAGAAGTCATTTTTCTGCTTTCCAAACGGAACCTAAGATACAATTTAGGATTAAATATACTCAAATGTCACATTGTTAATTTCAATTTATTTAATGACTCATTATTCATATTAATGATATTATCATATATATTGACTATCGATAAATTAATTAATTTCACAAAAAAATATCACATTTTCTTCTTTTATTTTATAACAAATAACAAATGTTAATAAGCAATAAAAATAATTGATTTACATATTCTAAAAAACAATTAAAGGGAGGCGTAATACATTTCAAGAATGAATTAATTTCACTTTTGGTCCCACGACTTTTGATGTTCTATCACTTTTGGTGCACAACTTTAAAAATTTTTAATTTTGGTGCCTAACTTTGTTATTTTTATCAGTTTTGGTCCTTTCGGCCAAATTGACAGCGAAATGTTACTGGATTTTATATTGTTAGGGGTAAATCGTCATCCCAAGGAAACATTTTCAATATCTAAACAAAATCACTGTAAAATCATATCTATAGGTGTTTGACGATGAAAATAATGGGGCAGACGGGCAGAAACTAGACAGATCTATGGGATTTATAGTTTCGACCATTGACAAACTCTTCTTTTCCTCTTAATATGATTTTTCTTTTGTTTAAATATTGAAGATCTTTCCATGGGATGACGATTTTGCCCCTAAAATATAAAATTCGGAAATATTTTACCGTCAATTTGGCTGGAAGGACCAAAACTGATAAAAATAACAAAGTTAGGCACCAAAATTGAAAAAATTTAAAGTTGTGCACCAAAAGTGATACGAACTCAAAAGTCGTGGGACCAAAAGTGAAATTAATTCTTTCAAGAATACTTCAAAGTTAATTCTTCCCTCCTAGAAGCAAATTATTTTTATTTACTTTTTTGGTACACATGGCTAACTACAAAGAGCTTCATTCCTTTTCATTTTTGTCAAGAAAGCTTAGTAGAAATCCACTTACAATCCTTCTTGCTATGGGGTTTGGTATCCGTCGACACAAGCGCCCATCAATATATGCAACTATTCCTGAAATCACAAAATTCCCAATGCCCCATCTCCATATGAACCCTCCTCCCTCGCTCTCCTTGCTACCAGATGCAGTGACAATAGCTGCTGTCTGGTCCTCCGTCTCCGGTTTTCCCTTCCACTTCACATTAGCCATGACCTTATTAGCCTGTTTCCGCAGTGTCCGGATTGCAAAACTCACGAAAAGATGTTCACACAGAGTCAGCACTGTTGGTCCAATTCTCCATTCCTGTAATAAAATTGTACCCCATGTATATTAACAGGATAGGCTATGCATATTGACATGAGAAGTTCCATTTCTATTTGTGGTGAGATTTGGTAGTGTTAAGTGGAACAGGTCAAGGAATCAAGGACAATTGTGTGTAACCAAGTATATTTGCAGACATGAAGAAATCAAGAATCTATGTTAATCGGGAGATAACCTAACTACTGGACAGGCAGTACTTACGCTTTCCCCTCTTATATGACGTAGAGGATGAGAAGGTTCTGAAGGACCTCCCTTCAACAATGCCTTGCTCACAAGAAACCCCTTTACACGCTCCATAATTTCATCTATAAGAGAACTATTTGGAGGCAGGTTCTTGAGGATGACCTGCAGACATACTAGCAAGTAAATACGTCTGCATCCAAGTGGGGAAATCCAGTGTTTGGCAAGGATATTATGTACTCTGTAGTGAACTTATGGCTGCTTTAATCAGCACACTCAATCCATTGTCAATGAAGAAAATTAAAATTAAAACTGCACACTATGTCAAGTATACTGAGTAGTAGTCTCCCGGATGATGAAATACAATTTTAAGTAGTATATAAATTGCAATTATTGCATAATAATCAGGACATGCCCAATAGAGTACCTGGTTTTCAATGACTCTCACTCTCAGATATTCTTGTTTGTATATTGTGTCTAACATGGCTTGCAGATAACCTTCAATGTATAGCTGCATTATTGCATAAATATTAAAAACAAATCTAGAGAGAGGTGTAGGGAAAGAACAATCAGTACAAAATGGAGATACTGATGAACTGGCAAAAGAAGAGAACTACTGGAGAAGAAACCTTTAAAACAGGGGAAAAAGTACAAAGTACATTAAAGCAATGTAACATTAATTAACCATTGTATTACCAAAGAATTCGATTAGAATTGATAACAAAGTACAAAATGATACTGAGAGTTCTTGGCTTACCTCATCAACCCCAGGACTTCGATCGAGTTTAATTTTTCGATCAGGACCCCCTTCCATAAAAGCAGTGCCCAATAATGAAGGTTCCATTGCCAATTTAAGTATTCCTTGGTGAAAACCAGTGACCTGTGTAATAAATCATGATTAATTTTAATTGTCTATCATCTCTTTTCCATCTCTGTGTTCCTTTGAAAAGTCAAAGGTAATAGTGCATTTTCCATTTTCAGTCTTAACTAGCCAGGAAACAAGTACAGAGTCAAATTTCGGAACTTCTATGACAAAGAAATTTAATGTTCTGCATACAATCAAACTGAAGGATTTTACCATTCCATTAAATCCACTTGCTTCTGCCCCTTTCAGAACCGAGTCTGATATTTCAGTGACAGCAGCAAATAGGATATTTGACCCCGCTGATTTAAACTGCAAATGAAGAATGACTTCATATCTTTGGAAACTAAAACACAGATGTCAGAAAATGTTGGAGTTTGTAACTTACAGTTTTCCCTAGATCACCAAAATAACGTTTTGTTCCAGAAAACCCTTTACCATGAGTAAACTTACTGATGAGTTTGAATGTACCTGTTAAAAGGCAAATTTTTATTTCTGAAGAAGCTAACAAATGCTCATCCACTTGTTAAAGCAGAAGATAAAGAGAATCGTATTATACTCTTCTTCTCTCTATTTTGCCTAAGGTTACAGCAAGAGAAGGGAGAAGGATTTTAGTAATCCAACTGGCATGGGTAGATTGCTCTAGTCATGCAAAAGTATCATAAATAGCCAGAATACACTTGGGCTATTAAAAGATAAAGCTTTCTGTAATCAGTAGCATGTAAAAATAGTTTATACGTTTTTATCAACATGAGGATGTTACTATCACATGGCAATGTTTTTCAACTTCCACACTAAGAATTAAGTAATGGCAGTCTGATAAGGAAGACTAGTGGGTTTTACCTATAGTAAGCCCAGGAAAATTGACAAAGCCACTTGAAGGATCAAAAAAGACATCAAGTGAGGAAGAAGCGAAGTCATCAAAGATAGAAGCAAAAGCTGGTGGAAGCAATGGGCTTCCCTTTGCAATATAGATTGCCCTCATGGCATACCTATAAGAATCAAGCAATTGCATCAGTTATATATATAGAACATAAGAGAAGGAAATAAACAGATGGGACTTGTTAAAGTATTAGCTAGCCCTGCAGTGGATGTTTAGTACAATAGTATTTTGGTCTTAGCCCATGTATAAAACTGTTCACAACATAGTCATTAATGTATATCAGGGTTTTCTTAATTATTCATCTTAATATGGTATCAAAGCCAGATTAGGTAGCATTAGCAAACCCTAGTTCCTCTTTCATCATGTTCTGTTGCATTGGTATTGTTTATAGTTCTGTATGTAATTACTTCCCATGACAGTAGTGCCTCGAAGGGAATCTCATCAACATTGGAAGTAGTGATTGAAAGGAAGTTACTTGGTTCCTATGGTGTTGAAGCAAGTATTTTAAAGTTCTTTCAAGCTTCAACTTGTTAAATTAACATCACCAATGGAATAGAGTAAACAATATAAAGAAAATTTCTTCGATGCTTAAATCAGTTTCAGAGATTCTTGAAGTGTAAATTGAAGATGTACATTTATTTTGTGTGATTGGACAAATGAGATATGCTTATAACTAGTTGAGCATCATATGCTTCACACCTCCACCTTGAGGGGGAATGTAAAAATATTAGTCAGTCCCACATCAGATGCTTAGTAGTATTGTCTCCTTTCACCAAAGGGCATTAGCCCAACCATATATATATATTAAGCTATTTACAACATAGTCATCAATATATGTTAGGGTTTTCTCTATCTTCTGTCTCAATAGGACTTAGCAAGAACACTCAAATGGTTTTCAATTAAAAACATCAATAACACGAAAAACAAAGCACAAAAGCAAAGTAGCAAACAACAAAATAGACTTACCAAGAATAATGTTGTGCACATTTAATTGACAATTCACGCAATGTTAACAGTACATGTGTAACCAGCACTCCGTTCAGTTCTACAGTCATATTCTTAACAACTGGCATCTGCAAAAGGGAGAAGGAGAGTGGATGATGTTATGATTAACACAAATGCAGAACCTAGATGTTATTTTGATAGCTGAAACAAATGCCAGACCTTAATCACACTATGAATTAAGGTCCTCAGTGTCTCCTGGGTAGAGCTGTAGCTAGCATAAGCTTCGCCTGGAAGAAAACTAGCAACAATCTTCAAAAACAAAAAAGTGAATGTAAGCAAAACTGCATTTTGTTGTTCTTTAGAGGCAAGAATGGGAGGCAGGTTCACGGTAAAAATAAATAGGTCCTTAAACCTTTATAGGGTGGATCTCAAAGTGATCAAAGTAATACTGTTGACTTGGAGCATTTGAATCACTAAGGGATGATCTCCAGAAAGGGACAATTTTCATTAATGTCTCCTCATCAAGTTTGAAATCAAGTGGCTGCAGAAGATAATAAAGTTAATGAGCAGAGGATAAAGGGATTATATGTACTACAGTTTGTGCTGAGATCATTAGGTTACACACTTCGATTTCTCTAGTGGTGACCAGTTTAAATCCTGATCGTTCTGTTTTTCTTTTGTTTTTATGTGGGTTTGTTTGTTTTTGTATTTTTTTTTTTTCAATTCATCATTGCAATATATGGGCTAGGGGAATTTTATCCTTGGCCTCCTCTAAGTACCAAGGTGATGCTTTAGATTAACGTCACAGTGAGCTAATACATCTGCCTTGAAGTAACATTGCAGCACATTACTATGCTCTTTTTGTAGTTAATTATGCTTCAAGAGGACTACATGACAGACATAAACCTAGAAACCTACAAAATTGTACCTACAAGACATAGTGACATACAATAATGCTAGTAAAGACTTGAACTAAACAACCAGTTGTAACCCTGATGACTGCTCACTTATCAACATAAGCCCATGCAATATCGTTATCAAAATCATCTCTTTACTGCATAGCCACAGTTTGTAGATACATAAATAAGTAATGAGCATGTACTACCATGCATTACCTGCAGAACAATGGATAAGTACTTGACTTGTTTAACTTTGGAATTGGATGAAACTAGAACAAGTTCCATTCGTAGTACACTGTCACTTTTGCTGCAATCTTCTAGCTGATTCCTACGAAGCATTGCTGCAAAAGGAGCTCCAGCCCACTTCTGATCCACACTTAGTGCCTGAATCATGATTATTATCAAGGCATTAGAGAACCAAGTAAACTGTGCTCTAGCAAAACAAGCAGATTCAAGGACAGATCAGAGGTATTTAATGGAATTCGTCTTCAAAAATAGAGAAAGAACTTACCTGTATACTGAGCTGATTTAACTTATGCTTGTCAGTAAACACAGAGTACAAACTGATGCTTTCAAGCCTTGCAACAAGAATAGGGGTGTAGATTGATGGTTCACCCAAGTCAACATCACTTATCTCCTTTGGTACATTATAATTGGATACAAATATCAGGTAAACATAATGAATATCAAAGAAGCAATTAGAAAATAATAGTAGGAAATATGACTTTTTATGAAAATATATATTTAAAACTAAATACTGAGGATGAACTAGAGATGACAACTAGTTCCTTTTCCATTACTATCTTTGAAATCATAAGCATTAAGCAACATTGTGGATTCATATCTTCAGATTCACATATGTTAATCATTCACAACCAATAGGTAACTATCTTAGGAGTCTTCTCTAATCATACCACTTCCAAGTGATCCCATTCCAAACATCTTTTCTCTTCTGTACAATAAGCTTTCCCCAAGACATTTCAAACTTGATCACTTTCTGTTATCAATATCATACATTTTTTTACTTCTCCCAAGCACATGACAATGCTAAGAGGCTGTAGGGTATTTATGTATGATTCACAGTATCCCTTCATCACCCCTGTGGAGAGGGGTCTTGGGGTTCCTAACTTCTATCCGCTCCTATTACTACTACAAACATAACTATCAAACACCAATCCACACTGTACAGAGATTTATTTAATTATTATATATTTATTTTAGGCAAATAAAAAAAATGAAACAGTTACCAAAAAAATGAAACTGACTCTTACAATTACTGGTGGTGTTTTTTGCAGTGGGAAAGGCCACACACAAGCATAGACTAACCTGTTTTGCACACTCAAGTAATTGAATTGCCAAAGATGATATGATTAGCTGCATCTTTGTTTTAGAATGGAATGAAGTATCCCCTTTGCGTCTATCAGCAAACTGACAAATTCTCAAAACTCGAGTCAAGCCATCCGTATATACTTCATAACCTAATTTTACCATTTCCGTGCCACTGGATTTTCCATAGCTGCTTTTTTTATTTTCAGGCTGATTCTCTATTGGTAAATGGAACCCTAACCCTCTCTGTTGCTTGATCCTGTAAAATTTTTTCCATTCACGCACCTTATCCAAGCTTATTTCACGCAATAGGTGCACATCTGCAATAGGAAAGAGAAGACAGAATGCAATCTAACTCTCTAATACAGGTATAATGGGCCAGTAAATCCAGCACATGATGAATTGGAATCAAGTGAATTACTAAAATTTCTAACAGGGGAATGCCATTTTACCAATCAATAGAGAAACTTAGAAATATCATGCAACACCGCAAGTTTCATCTACCAAGAGGCATTAGTGTCAAGCACTTTTTCCCAATGGTTGATGCATAATAACCTTAAGTATATATACAGACATACAGGACTTTTATAGCTGTGCATGTCATCCCTGTACTCCTGGATGTAGGAAGATGTAGCAATTTACTTGGATAGATTAAAACCACCAAGTTCCTATATCCATGAAACATGTACAGAGTAATAAATAATTAAACCAACTAAAAGCTACCTGAAATCCATATTTCATCACCCCCAAAATCCTAACCAGTATTTGTTTAAGATAACCCAAAATTGCAAATAACTGAACCAAAAATTAGTTTAGTTCCATCCTATCCGAATTTTTGCATAGCTGCAATACTTTTTAGTATGGAGTATCATTTTTGCTACATATAAAATCGATATCCAAAGTAAATAAAGGATTTCTTTACGTTAATACCACTTTTAGTCCTTGACAATTACTTTGACTAAATTTAGTGTGGAACTTTTCCAAATTGACCAACTGTACTTCAAAATGTCCTCACTATGTACACTCCACCCTTCTATATGCGAGGGCATTTTGTGCTGCATTTTGTTGATTTCAAAAAGTCATATAAATCTGGTTAAATTGATGAACAAAAGTGGAATTAACTCAATTGCTTTATAAGGTCAATGTAGCAGGAAAATCAATCTCTTAGCCTCACTCTCCAACTTAGAGGGAACTTTGGCTATCCAAATATTGAAAGGAATGAAAATAAATTATACTTCATATTACTAAGTTGCAGAAGAGAATTTATTTTCATTCCCATTCACTGAATTTGAGAAATAAAAGAATTAGGTGGGAAGTATATATCTAAAATGTATTTTCCGAAGCCATAATTTCAAGGGAGCAATTATTACCACCAATTTGGACAATTAGCTTGTGAGGAAGAGTCAAGTCATCCCAAACATAATTAATGCTACTTCCAGATCCCAAAACCTCTGGCTCTAGTGAATCCTGAAAATTATCCAGAACAGTTTTAGCACACAAATTAAAATATGAATATAGAACATGATACATTATATTGTAGCTAATGAATTTGATTTTCAACCTTTTGATAATATGTGACAGCAGTATCATGCAAGCAGTTCTCAATCCGATAAGGCAGGTCTATGTTTGGAGGCTGGTAAAAGTGTAAAACAAGGCTAGAACCTTCTTCAACCACATAGACAGAAGCGAATTCATGTTTATTGGAGTTACAAAATGTTGCTTGATCTGATTTACTAGAATGAAATTCTGAGGATCTTCTGAATTTAAGGAAAAACCGACCCAGTGAAGCAATACATACTGGTCCTGACCAACTCAATCCAGACTCATTCAGTCGAAACTGAATAAATAACAAATCTTCTTGAGATTTTTGGTGTTTTATGAGAAAATTCTCAAAAACAGTAGTCTCCCTCTTCTTCTGCATCCCCTTTCTCAATGTTAAGGCTATTCTCTCTTTACTGTTGAGAGTAATGATTGTTTCTGTGCCATCCTCCTAAAAAGATACCGTTATAGAAAAAGTCAGAAATTCTTCCATAGCAGTTCAAAAATGACAACTGCAATTTTAAACCGTAAAAAACAAACCTCCAAATAACACTGACGGACATAGATAACTTCCTTTGATTCGTTCACCACAACATACCGTGGGTTTATGGATATCATTTGAGCTGGGACTTCTTGACTAATATATGGCCTTAAAGAAACTCCCAACTTTGTTATATGCTTAAAACCAGATTTTCCCTCTAGTTCAATGTCCACCTCTGTAAGGCCTGATAGAGCATCCAAATCCAATAGTCCATGAGATGCATTTTCATCTGTCAATGTAAGACGCACCTTGTGGCATCTGGGTAATCCAAGAAAAGAAAATAAATAAAGTGAGACTAAAGGAATGCAATACAAAACAACTGGGAACCTATGCATATTTTGTATGATGAAATATCAAGAACTCATACAGAAAAGGAAATTAAAACTGGACAGTGAAGGTGAAACCATTTACTTCATGAACCAGGATCTAGTTGATTTAGGAGAAAGATACGATCCAAGTTCTGGAGAAACTTCGTAACCAAGCTTTTGGATAACATCCCTGCATAAAGTACTGATATTAGGATAAGCAAAACAAATTTCCTATTAATATTTTTAATCAAATTATTACCTAGACATAGGCTTCTGATTTACTGGAAAGCAGAACAAAGGAAAAGCTGTATCATTCTCCAGAGTATATGAGGTAAAGATGGTAGCCTGCAAGCACATAAATGATTTAGCACTTGTGGATTGAGGACTCGTGATCAATCTAATTTCAGGATGTCTACCTCTAATATTCCCCTGTGTCCTCGAGACAACCTTAGCAATGCAAAATACTTTCCACTACAAAAGTCCAATTCAATGTCTAAATGTCGGATACTACTTTTCTGTTTCTGTAACCTTTTAGCCCAATCAGAACTATCCACTGGCTTACAACTTGAACCAAAAGCAGTTAAAGTGACATTAAAATATTTAAATGCAGGGTCAGCATATAATTTAACACAGGACCCAGAAGGGATAGTTGCCTTATTCCATATACAGTCACTGTCCACAGTAGAATGAGGATCTGCACCAAGTTGACCTCATATAATTAAAATCAGTCAACCAAAACTGAAATCCAAATACAATTTGCTAATACCTGTCTCATTCAAAGTCACATGAATCTCTGTATGTAATAAATTGGAGACACAAACAGTAGGAAGAAGAAATATTTCTTTCTGCTCTTGCAATGAAATTGAAGAACTCTTATCTACATGTACATATCCAAAGGTATCTGGGTGTGCAAGAGGTACATCCTTCCCAATGCTGTGAATCAAGAAGTGGATCTTAGCAGTTCGTCCATCTTCCAACTTTATATCACAATAGGCAGTATCAAAGGAGTGTTTCAGTGAATCAACAGAAAATGCCTTCCGGACTTGGTAAGTTAATTTATCAAATATCCCAGATAGATGGACAGGCTTCCTCCCTTTGAGATCACTTGACCAGTGCACTGACAAAATTTTACTGTTGGTTATCTCATCAATGATGCTCGGTCTAAAAGATAATAAGAAATTACCTGTAAACCAAAAGGCTTAATTAGAGGTCACATTGAATGGAGTATGTGCATGCCAAAGATTGGTCAGGAGAACTTTAAGTTCAAAAGAGGCATCCATATCTTTGGCATTGAAGGTTCTAGACATTAGTGCCCAGCAGCAGTAGGTTAAGCAATTCAAGTAATTGGTTATGAAAGTATTTTGTCAAAATTTAAAAGCTAATAATGATCAAACATGTGAATCATCAGTGAATGTTCCACATTCACATCCAAAGTTTTTCTACATTTATAAATACATATAGTTATTGCATTTAGTTCTCTTTCTCCAACTAATTTTGGTTGTGTTATAGAATATATAAGTAATATGGAATTTATATATATTAGGCAGGCTGAAGATTTAGGGTTTTGAGTAGGTAGTCATATGGAAACTTGTTTCCCTATTAGAAGCCTTCTAGCATGTATTTATAGGGCTGTGTATTCTCTTTTCTAATATACAATATACAACTTATTCAGAAACTCTCTTTACTTTGGTAACAGGTTGCATGAGCATTCCAATCTATTTAATTACAATTGGTGAGAGAACCTTGGTGATACATGCACTCATTATACCATGGATGGTGCACAAGAACTTCCCACATATTAATCATATGATTTTTTAAGGTAGCAGAGGAAGATACGTAATGCCCCAGCCCCAAACATTTGCTAACTGAAAAAAACTAATGTTATCTTTCAAGGCCTGAGAAACTGGGGGGAAGAAAACAACATATGCCCAGCCCCAAACATTTGCAAACTGAAAAAACTAATGATATCTTTCAAATGCCCAGCCCCAAACATTTGCAAACTGAAAAAACTAATGATATCTTTCAAGGACTGAGAAACTGAAAATAATTAAATAAATAAATAAATAAATAAAATTTCTGGAATATTAAGCTCCAAGCATACCAACACTCACGGACATTAATGCCTTTCTTTGTTCACCAGAGAGACTAGTGGCACCAAAAGTTGCCATAGAGTCATCAATTGTATCCCCAGCCTTCAAAACGACAGAAGCATACTCAGTTTCCTTTTGTTGACCACGTTGAAAACGAAGCTCCATATGGAAATCAGTCTCATTGTGTACTTGAAGCAATGGAGCAACCCGAACGGAGAAGCCATCCTTGAATTGCAAACAGAAATTTAGCATTTGTATGTTAACATAATAGTAGACAGTTCTATAGAGTCACCAGAAAGGGAGCAATTAGATGGGGTACCTCAGTTATAGGTGAAATTTCAACTACAAGAAATGGACCAGGGAAAGTTTTTGATTCTGAAATCAATCAATGAGAGATAAAGTAAACAACCGAACATGTTCCAGGAAAAATAATATATGAATTTATACATCCAGCGTTGCATCCTAGCTTTTCTGACAGAAGTTAAAATCTCAAGTATGCCCAACTTATAAGACCTGCCCAATTCAACCCCTCTTAATTTGCATAAATAAAAGATAACAAAAGGCATCAGTGCAACTGCCTCCAGCCTCCCTAGAAACAAATAACACCCCTGGAAAACTTAGAGACACCCAAGTATAAAAAAAAGCCTTGATTTTGCATCCTGCTGAAAGAGGATAAGCTCACCTTGCAATGATTCTATACGTGTTCTGCAAGCAAACGCTTGGGCTTCCAAGAGTGACAGATGAATTAAAGAAGTAGAAAGGGTCCTCTTCTCTGTAAGTTGGATTGAAAAGAAGGATGCATCTGAGGGTTGATTTGTTAAAGCCAAATGCCTGAGATCCATATTATTTAGCAAAAGAAAGTCATATTTTAACATCTTTAGATATAAAGACAAGAATTCCAAGCTAGATTAATTTAGTTAGAGGTTGATTCATCAAATTAACAGGTGGATTAAGAACTATATTACTCCATAAAACATTTTTTCCCCTTAAAGCTCATTTCTATTTCAATAGGGCTGCTAGAACAACATGGATGATATAATCTCATTATTTTAAGTAAGCTAGACCCTGCCCCACACAATCCCAGTAGTTGTTACTGGGCCAATAATAAGGTAGGTTCAGTAGATTAAAGCACCTTAAGAATATGATATTAGACTGTCTTCCAGCAACTGAAACCTCTTGATTATCATAGAAATTACAGACAAGGGTCAAGCTTGACTTGTTTTCAATCTGCAATTTGGAGACTATCAATAATACCACCACTGTAGTGGGGAGTGCATAATACCGAGAATGATACATTTGGTCCTCTACAAAGAGTTTCTTATTAAGAATATACATTAACCAAAAAGATTCAGATATGGTATGGCAAACCTTGCAGCAGTTGGCCAAAATGCTGGAGCTTCTCACTGCATAAGGCCCAGCCAAGTTTAACTGTCCAATGACAAAGAGTGCGATATCTAGTGAAAGCTCACTTATTGATAAATTGAACTGCAAATACCATGACATGAAAGTTAGAGCATCAAGCAACTAATAGATACTCAAATAAATAGAAATTAGGATACATAATAACAGACCTCTCCAATTCTCGCATAGAAATGACCAGGCACCTGATACGAAACATGTTCCAAGTCCTTGGAGAGGAGTCTATAACGATAGAAAAGGAAAACCTCAAGTGGATGCATAAGTTCTCTCCTACATGAATTCAAAAATAAAATATGCATTTAAGCATACAAGGGTATCAGAAGTTGAAAAACTGTTTTGGTTTTTCCTGATATTTCTTGAATAAATAATATTCAATAAATGCTCACCATAAGTTTTTCTTGGCATCAAAGAAATACAGGAGAGCTTGTAACCTGCTTATAACCCGAATTTTAATGTTTGACACCTGAACCACAATTTCAGTAGCACCAATAGATCCCTGGAGGAGTGGGAACTTTTCCTTGGTATCTGAAAGTTCATGCACAATGGTCCATGAAATATTGTCTGTTGTAATAGTTATACCCAAAGTGTTCCCATTTTTCCTTAAATCTGCTCCCTCTTCTAAATGTAAATCACGTTGGCTACCTGTTTGAGATTCCTCTACTAAACAGCTATTAGGCAAAAGATTATTAGCAGCTGGAAAATGATTATGAAATACTTTCCACTTAAATGGGTTTCCAGGCTTGATGACAAATTCCAGGACTCCATTGACAAAAGCAGCAGCAAGGTCATTTTTCTTGTTCACAAGTTGAAATGTATGTTTAGCTGGAGGGTCATATTCAGCATCTCTCTCAAAACCTTTTGATTCGCAAGGGATGGCACTCCAAAGTGTACATGCACCATGATCAGAGTTGGTAATGTCAACAAAATCAGATCTTGGCCGGCAACTTAATCTCAATGATTCCCCAGTTTCATCCTTAGCATACAATGAAATCAATGAGAAATAAGGAATTTGAGACCTCCACCTCCTTGAATTATGATACTTCACCTGAGTAAGTAAATGGATTAAGAAGACCTTAGAAAGAATGATATTAATGTCTCAAGAAAGGAGCTCAAGGAAAATATGACCACTACTTTATAGAAAGGAAAAATGCCTTTTTTTTTCTGATGATCAAATTTGCAACTGGAATAATAAATTGAATTGGAGAAGGATCATCCCAAATGTTAAATATCAATCCAATACATTTGCTGCCTAATGCACTGTAAATGTTATGAGAGAAAAACCATGCAGTTTTATATCAAGTCTGTGGATAGATTTAAAGGAAAATATACCAATTACAAAACCTCATTAAATCCTTCCCTTGCACTGTTCTACCTCATTAATAGGAACCAGCTGCTGATGGGATTTGCTAATAGGAGCTAATCATATCCATGTTATGTTTCAAAAATAAACTAGTCATATAGTGCTCAAATTCAACAACAAATAGCATTTATTATGGCATACTATTGAATAAGATACAGAATGATAAGACTTCTTACCCTGAAGAGAGCCCTCTCGCCTGCAAGCGTGTAATGTAGTTCACCAACCAAAGCATAACCACTTTCAGCCCTATCAACTGCAATAAACATATGTTGACACACATCTTCTATAGCAACAATAGCTCCTGCTCAGATTTCAATATCTCTAAAGTCAAATATCCTTGAATTTCGTTAAATTAACAAAATGCCCACAATTAATAAAGACAATTACCATCAGGAACACTGTGATTCATACTTCCGGCAGATTCCTGGCTACTAGACCAGTGCCTTTGTTCCACACCCTTACTAGTATCATTGCTATAGAGCGCAGATATAGATTCACCAGCAAAAAGTATCATCTAAATAATCCCAGCAAGTTAACTAGGTGAGACAAGAGAAGAGGAACAATTTCAAGCTCCGGTACAACTAAAGCATGAACTACATAATCAACTCAAAAGCACATAGAAAGAAATATTATCATGAAACTGCATATCTGCTTCACTATTTCTAAATATTTCTCACATTTATTAGGCATGTTATAAACTAAAAAATCAAATTCAAAAGCACACCATGAAATATATTATCAAGATATCCAGCACATTTAGATACAATAGATCTGAATGCTTCTCCAACTAATTAGAACAAGTTCAGAATATATTTTAAAAAAAAGGTTTGAAGCTTTAATTATGTTTATTTTGGAAAGGTTCAGAAAAGTGGCTTGTTTTCATTTTTTAACTGGTAAGGTTGAAAACTGACAAGTAGACTCTTTAAGGCGCGTCCTTAAAATCACCCATTAGCAATGCATAATGATGCATTCTTAGGATATTATGGCTATGCTCACACAACAGCAACAACAACAACAACAACAACAACAAAAAGAGGCACTTGCCATTTGCAACTTTTGCCACAAAATATTGTAATGGAATAATTGCAGCACATGATACTGCTCACCTGTATTTCGGGAAGAGAGAGAGTCATATCAAAACCTGAAAGAGAACCATTGCCAACCCAAAAATAGTCCGTCTGCTGCGAACTAACCCAATTTCTCTTTGCAAGACGCTCAGCTACTACTGAAGCAGTTAGGTTTCGCAATACATAATTTTGAGGAGATGCAAGCAAGTTTTGAGATCCGATATTATTCATACAAGATTTTCCTGAACCATCAACAAGATATTCCTTTTGAGGGACATGAGAGCTTGAGCTACTTGCATCATCAAGTGAGTGAACTTTATTCACATAGTTTGAAGAAACTGAAACATCACCATGTAAATATATGGAAGACGGATCTTTTGGTGTTACAGAAGAAAGTGAGAGAATATTGGTATCTCTGATTTTCTTTTTCATGTTCACATCAAAGGAACATGAAAGAATTGACAATTTCGAAATACTAAATGAAATTTTTGTTGGTGCTTCAAGGTTGAAGTGACTGGTAGCCTCAAGCAGAAGTTCCTGGAGCCTACCTGCAAAGGAGGTCAAAACTTCTCAAACATTTGGCTATAAAACTAAAGTAATAAGAGAAAAGATGATACCAGATTCATCTCTGCCCATCAATGCAAGAGAAATTTGTGAAATGTTTATACTCAATGCTTCCAATTGGTTCCAATTAACTAATTGATGGCACTGCAATTCTTGATTTGGTAGATCTATCATAGCATCCATATTTCCATCATGTTGTTCCCCGGATGATGTTGCAGCAGGCCAAAGATCTCTGAACTTGCAATGGTATAGAGAGAAGCATTGAATAAACATCATAAGTGCTGTTGTTTCGATAATAATGTAACCTCCCTGTTAAACATTAAAATTATCCATTTGAGAAAATTAATAGAAGCACAATAGGATTGAAGAAACTGCATATGATCTTAAAATTGTAAGAACATAATTGAAACCTGAGTCTGGCAAGAGATTCTTTGAAGTTTTCCACCAACAGAAAGAGATCCTTCAAGTTTGTTTGCTTTATGCCGTTGACCCAATAAATCTTTTACTGGGGATCCAGCTAAATAAACTTCGTCAAGAACAATAGTCATGTGTAAACAATCATCAGTATCTGCAATCAAGGGGGAATCTTCGGCCATTTGTGAAGTTTCACCACCAGATGTAGAAAGATCAGCTGCATTTCTCAAACTGGGGTGTGGCGTGGCATTCAAGCACAAAGAAAATGTACACTGAGAAAACGATGCTCCATATAAGCAATGCAAAGACTGGATAAGATTTTTAATTTCTAATTGATCAGAAACTTCAGCAATCTCCTTTGTTTGTCCAAGAATATCAGATTGAAACCCAGATAAATTGATGGAAAGATCCATTTTTTCTGTTTCAAATGAAAACATGATATCAGACTGCTTAACATATATGTGAATTCCATAGTCTAGCAAGGCTTCACTATCCAACATTTTGTTGATAACCGTGTAAGCATTCATCCTATCTGACTCTGTACGATGTCCTTTCCTGGAGTAATGAAGGATGATTTCAACTGATTTCAGCTCACAAATGTTCTGAATAATAATAAGACTTTTCATAAAAACAGGACCTGCCTGTGTCATTCTAGTCATCAACACTTCATGATTTCCAAGATTTGGAGACATTTCTTGCCTTGAAAACTCTTGATAACTTAGGCCAGTACCTAAACTGGGCAAATTGGAAACATGTAATGCTGCACAAAACAAACCATATGCTACCTGCCACAAAGAGATACTATGGTTGAAATCTGCACAACAGTCCAGACAATTTTACACAAAAGAGAGGGAACTTTTTTACTCTAAGTTCTAGAATAAACCAGACTTAGAGGTTGATCATTTTATTTGAGAACTAGATGCGGTATCCTAATCTGGCTGATAAAAGTACTTCTCATGGTAATTACCATATATGCAAAGGGCAGAGGGTTTACAGCAGTATTTTGATACAAGAAAGTTAATATGGCCTCACTGTGTGTCAATCCAACTGGAGGTAACATAACACAATTAATTCCATTCACCAGATTTTTCCAAAAAGGAAAGTACATGGCATTAAATCCTATTGCTGTGAGTCTGTGACATGTTATAGACCATTATACAATCAATATTGTGAAAACAAATTTCAATGTACAAACTTTAAGTACTTTAGGTGGCAAGAACAATAAATAAAAATTGAGAATATTAAGCATGAAGTATCTATTTAATAATAGGCCTAGTAATAGTAAAAAGCCAAACATATGTGAGCAATTGCATCTTTAGACAAATCTCTAAATTTTTGCAATTTATACAAACTTCTGATTTTTTTTGTCCTCAGTCTAGTGAATTTCTAATTTTGGTTAAAATTGACCTGAATCAACTTCATATCTACATTATGCTCAACCCTAGGATTTCTATAACTCTTTATTCTACCCCGCAATTTTTTGCCCCGAAAATTATCAAGTTCAATTTAGAAAATTTAGAAGAACATTCCATGAGAATACTTACAAAATATTCAAATTCTTAATAGTCATATTATATATATATATATATATATATATATATATAAGCGCACACACACATACATAAGCTGTATACTTTTTAAAATATATATAATAAAAAAATCAAAATAACTGGAAAATTTGTTGCATGGAAATTTGCCCATTCATAATATGGCAGCCATGTTAACCCAACAATAAAAGGTTTTAAGATACAAAAGAAATACTGGTCTAGCTCTTAGTTATTATTATTGTTGTTGTTGCTGTTGTTGTTGTTGTTGTTATTATGTATGCAATAAATTTTCTAGTTATTTTCAGTTTTTTATGGCTCATATATGATATGGTTGGTGAATATTGAGAATTTGACTATTTGGTAAATATTCTCATGATCATTTATTTATATATATTTTATAATTTCTATATTGAACTTGCAAATTTTCTGTAAAAAAATTCTTGGGGTAGAAACACAAAAGTAGAAAACAAGATTATTATGAAATTGGATCATTTCAATCCTGATTCCTGATCAAAATTGAGAATTGGATAAAATTACAAAAATAAAAATAAAAAGTTGTTAAATTGTAAATATTAAAAGGCTTGGTTAGAACTGGCTGCAAAATTTGGGATCCTGAATAATAGAACTCAGAGGGAAAAAAGTAGAAACAAAAAAAGAATAGACAAATCAATCTTATATAGAAAGAGAACCAAAAGTAACTAAAGTTCAAAATATTAAAGTGTCGAGAATCACCTTTACAAAAGCATCCAATTCATCCAAAAATAATAAAACAGCCAATCCACTAACCATCCAACTTAAAGAAATAAACCAAGCAACAACTGATGAGCCCAATGAATGGAGATCCTTCCTGCCATAACATAAAGTAATAGTCACTGTAAAAGCAAAGAAGTTCTATAACAAGTCTTTTGCAAAATTTTCAGAATGAAAATTAGCATTACTTCTCTGCTCCATTTACTTATTTTTCAAGGTCCAGTGTAAGCATTCTATTGCTATATAAAGAGAGGAGGGACTAATTTTACTTGCAAATTTCAAATAACCATCATCATAATTTATAAATGCAGTTAACATAAGAAAAGTACTACAAAAATTTGTAGATTGCAATAAGAAAAACTCCAAACTACAATTAAAATAGAACTAAAATTTGTAGATTGCAATAAGAAAAACTCCAAACTACAATTAAAATAGAACTAAACCCAATCTGGTCATGGACAGTAAATTAATAATTGTTCATGGAAAGTTTTTCCATCAGATGTATGTTCTAATGAGGAATCATGTCTTAACATTGATTTTCTGATCAATTATGATAAAGATTTATAGTTCCTCTTAAAAATATAATTTGTCATCCAAGAATCATAATGGTCAACACAGGATCCAGTTCACTTCCTAAAGAATTCACAGCTTTTTTTCATAACCCACTGGAACAGGACAGAAATATAAAGATAAATCATAAATGCATCTGTAAGTTGATATAAGAAAAAGACAAAGTATATCCCTAAATCTCTGGGATGCAACACACAACCAGGACTGGTGAGGAGAGTAATTAAACTTGGCAAGCAATCTAGTCTCACATAAAAATAGAATCATTGCTATGTAACTGATTTCTTGCATCTTGAGAAACATAATATTCATGACAGAAGACAGACCAAGAAAAATAATCAAATAAGTACCTTGAGGCTAACAATCTGAAGGTTACAGGAGTTAGCACAATAATTTGGCGACGTGGATTATCTGTTACATCAAGATAAACTTTCAACCCATTAAATTTTAGGTAAGCGTCAAATGAGATACATCCTTGGGGGCTGATTGTTTCATCATTTGACTTAGGAATGTCAACCTGATGAAGCTCCATTAGTGCAAGGCTCTTTGCTTTTGCATCAGTGACTGTGATGGATCCACTTGGAAAAGTGAAGTCAGATTCCAAATTTGGCAAAACAGCAAGTTCTATGTTGGCTGCTTCAATTCTAAGGTGAACCATATTGTTTCTAACCGCATGATACAGATTTGATATCTGACCATGAAGCCCCGGCTTTCCCAATGAAATTTGAATGTGAGGACCAGCAACTCTTATTCCCATTTGAATATGCTTCTGTGGAAGCAACCTTTGTGCTGCCACCGCCATTCCAGTTGAAAGTGATATGTATTTACTACTCCAGTCTATACATGGTGGGTCACCAAGAGATGTTGGAGCATGCAACACGGTATCTGTTCTCATGTTGCAACCAGTCCATGAAAGGGCATTCTTAATCTGCGAGGAAATTACAGCAACAGATACAATTGATGCATGTTCAATAACTAAGTTCAACCTTCCAGCCACCATACCACAACTTAAAGACCCAGAAATAAGATTCTTCTGGGTTTGATCGGTCAAAAAACTTTTAATCTCACAAACGAGAAATGGATTTTTGGAATCCTGGATTTCATTAGCTCCATTTTTTGGGCAACCTTTTCTCCACTTCAAGAGCATTTCTCCTATAATGAAGTCTAGAAAAGAAAAAGAACGGACACCAGTGTCATTAGCATGATAATCTGCATTCTCCACAGAGTCGATAATTTCTGCAGGCTCAACCCATAAAATAGGTGACAAGTTATGAACCTTCTTTTTCTGAGACCCTTTCAAGTGCCTAGTAGAATTTCTAGAACTATCTTCCATAAGAGATAATGGAACAACCTTCAAGGTTTCACAGCCAAAAGCAAAACATTTTTGTGTAATATTTTGAGAATATCTTAAGCAAAATACATCAATTGAAAGAGAAAACAAAAGCAACTCATGGTATGAGAGCCCAATATCTGAGAGCAGATTCCCACTAACAGAAGGGTCAACTTCAGTTTCTGGGGAAATTGAAATTGAGAGTTCTCCCACATCTAAGCCAATGTGGCGGTGTAGAAGAGAACAATCAGGAACATGTCCCAGATTTGTGTTGGAATTTGAATGCTTACTGGCAATGTTTCGAAAAAAGAGAAGACTTTTAATTGAGTGAAATAAGTGGCAAATGTACTTCCAAACAAAGTGGAGTGGTCTACAAATTTTCAAGGAAAGTGTCTTCAATTTTGACTGATGACAATATTCTTTAACCCTTTGGGCACCTAATGTAACTCTGTTACGTATTATTCGTCTTGCCAGTGCAATGGCCTCACTGGGTAGCTCTTCCTCAATTTGGCAAATTGTCTTCCACTGCTCCTTAACAGCTCTTGAGTGTGCTTTGTCCCCAATCATAAAAACAACTGATCTTCTTATTGCATCATCTGATGGATACCCAACCAACAAAAGCATATTCTCATAGGTCTGTATATAATGTATCCAGTTACAGATAATGCAAACAAACTTATGCAATAAAAACTTGTGCATTGAAGTTAAGGATCTAATTTTGTCCGCTGCTATATTCCACAGTTGCCTACCATTTCTGACACACTTGGCTTCTTTGGACAAGAAGACAAAAAGTAGAAGTATGGTAGAAACATGAAATGGAGATAGGGAAAATTTCACTGCTTCGACAGAAAAATCAAAGTCAAGAAAGAGAAGATTTTTAACTTTTATAGAAGCATGTAGGTTTGTTGAAGGAACAATGTTGCTCATGCAATCTTTTGTCTTCAATCTTATCTCGAAACTTTTAATTTCAAGATCAAAGTAGCTCTCTCTAGAGGGAAAGATAAGTGAACTGATGACCCCATTGAGGAAACAACACTGAACAGATTGACATCCCACACCAAGCTCCTCCATCCGAAATGAGAAGGAAAACAAATTATCCGGATGAGAAGGCTGCAAAATCACATGAACATCATGCACATTAAACCGACAATGCTGAAAAATGTGATCCAACAGAGAAGTTGTCCATTCTGGTGCTGTAATTTCTGCAATCCTTTCCATGGCAGCATGCAGAGAACTTCCCTGAAATTCACAAAGCTCGCAGAAATTATAGCTGGCTAAACAAAGTAAAGAAAATTGAAGTGTAAAAAATAAGAATTCAGTATCACACACTAATGCAAACTTAAATGCAGAAACGCGACTAAAGCAAAAAAAAAAAAAAAAAAAAATTATTCTACAAAGCATAAGACTACAATATGTGCAATGTACCTGCGGATCAAGCTCTGCGAGAAGCTTTGCCTTCTGCTCAATAGACGTGTCTCTCGGTTTTAGCCTGCGTTCCACACCTCCCTCCTCCTTTTCACTTCAAAACACAAATCCAAACTAATCACCAATTCATACGCAACGGATCCACAAGGAGATAGACAGACAGACAGAGAGCATACCACAGTGATAGAGTAATGTGAAGGCCGTGAATTTGGAAGGTGAACGCAGGGGCTGACCAGTTGGCTACATGAACGTCAAACTGTTCAATGATTACTTCTTTGAAACACATGCGAGAAGGATCCTCTAGTAACTGGTTCAAAGCGGAAGTGTTTAAGCTGAGGTTTCTGGCAACCCCGTGAGAGCGAAGAAGCCCTAGCTTGACTTCGAGCTGCGGTTCGTCCATCAGCCATGGCCGTAGCAGAGCAACAAGTCTCCGCTGAATCAAACCGGCGAATAACATGTTTTGATCTCTTTCACTCTCTTCTCTACGAGATTAACCGTGATTTCTCCATTTGCTAGCGAACTCTTCAGAACCGGAAAATATGTAAGTATGTAGTAATCAAATTATTGAAGGCGGGATATTTTGCTGGGAAAGTGTATATAAATTTGTATTTATATATAGCAGCACTTCCTTCAGATTTGTAAGACGAAATGATCAACTGATTGAGGGAAGGATGACGAAGGAAGACGAAAAGAATCTTTGACAGTTATCTCGAAACTACGATACGGCGTCGTGTTAAGCAAATCTGTCTTTCCTGAGTTCCTCAATCATTGAACAGTAACATTTTGAACCTCAAAAAAAAAAAAAAAAAAAAAAAAAAAAAAAAAGTCAAATAACCTCTAAACATTCCTCAATAAGTCAATTAGGCCTTTACACTTTCAAATGTTACAATTAAGCCCTTAAATATATTGTTTTAAAATATTGAACCCAAAAACTAATTGGTCACCTACAATTACAGGTCACTAAAGTTCCGGCAAACATCCGATAAGATTTTAGAAAAAAAAATCGACAAAACGGTTGCCGGTGTCATTTGGTTGCTTTCTCCTTCACCGGAGAAGGCAACTAGATCCGGTGAAGGAGAAGGATGCCTTCTCCGAAGACTGGAGGAGGCGACCCATCTGTTCGCCTTCTCTAGTCGCCGAAGAAGGCAACCAAACGACACCAACAATTGTTTCGCCGGTATTTTTTTGTCAAAATTTTATTGGAGGTTCGCTGAAATTCTAGTGACCTGTGATTGTAGGTCACCAACCAATTTTTATGCTTCAATGCTCTAAAATAATATGTTTAAGAGTTTAATTGTAACCTTTCAAAATTTAAGGGTCTAATTAACTTTTTGAGTAATGTTTAGGAGCCTATTTAACACTTTTAGGCAAATTATTGTGTGAACCATAATAAAAAAGTACATTATAATGTACATTCAGTATAAAAAAATGCATATCATCAGAATACAATATATATTATTTTACAATATACAAAATATGGTAAAATATGGTCCACAGAATAATCATTGACCATTTTATATGGAGTAACATTTTGAAGTAACTTGGGCTAAGCCCAATAGACCTCTTGTGTTAGTTGGACCCAAACCCATACATAAATAGAAATCAATAGAAACAAGTTTTGGGCAATTTATATCCTACACCACGGTGCGCGTTGCACTATGCGCCCAGATGCAAAATGATGTCATTTTAATTTTTTTTTTTTTGTTGAAATTTTCCGCCCTAGTGAATGGCAGTAGTTTTTTCTTTAAAAAAATCCGCTGTTCAAGAATGTACATAATGTTATACTAGAATACACATAATGTTATACATGAATGTACATAATTATATAACAAAATATACATACTCTTTTTAAAAGATAATACACATAATCTAACATAATACATAATAAACATAAACTTTTAACATAATACACATCAACTCTTAACATAATACACACAAATTTTCTGATTCGGATGTACATAATTGTATAAAAAGAATGTACATAATTGTATAAAAAATACACATAACTGTATGAACCAATACACATAACGTTGTGAACAAATACACATAACATTGTGAACAAATACACATAATCTCAGCAACTTCCTACCGCGCCTCCCAACACTACCCCAAAACGACGTCGTTTTGGGAGGCGCGCGGCGCACAGTGCTATGTGCGCCGTGGTGTAGGATATAACGATTGCAAGTTTAGGGGACAAATTATTGTGTAGACTTGTGTGAAGTACGGACTAAAACGATATTATTTTGATTTAAAAAATAATAATTCTTTCTCTACGCGTGTGTAATAATAAACATTTTAGAGTAAAATAATGTATTTTATGAGTTAAAATAATGTATCTTATGTTGTTAGAATGATCAACTTTATGTGTTAGGTAATAAAATTTCCAGGATAAAATAATGTATTTTATTATTTAAGAATAATGTATTTTATGTGTTTTTTGACCAATAATAATTGAGTTTAGGCATAGCTCATTGACAAATTCTATATAGATCATGGTCCACTATATAGATCATGGTCCACCTTACGGAATGAATTATCATTGCATTCAAAATGATATCATTTTGTTTAAAATAGTACAATTTTGTTTTCCTTTTAGCTTTTGTTATTTTTATCGCCCGCAGCATACACTCCCTCATCGATCTCTCTCCCCTGCACCTCACCCAAAAACACACCAAAAAACAAAACAAAAAAAAATAATAATAACAAAACAAAACAAAACAGGAGATGCTCTAAGAATTGAACATTGAGACCTCACAACTGTTTTGAATAATAACAAGAATTTTCATTAAAAAAACTGATGATTAGAATTATACCAATAATAATACATACAGCTTGCCAAGAGGTTCATTATCAGCAAATAATGCTGCTTGTCGATCAAGAGACTCAACATATGAAAGCCAACAAGAACCAAAAACCAGAATAAGCTAAGCAGGCAGCAACACTACAGTCTACAGCTTATCATATCCAACTACTTCACATACATATCATACACAAAAACAGAAAACACAAGTCACACTTAAGAACACAACCTGCAGGAGGCAATCACTAATAACCAAATTGTGCATCCTTAATCATCTATCGCATCTGCAGGGAATACAATGATGTTCACAGTCAATTTCTTGCTTTTCATGATCTCTAAGATGCAAACGTCGCCTACTTTTAATTTGTTGTCCACCACGAATGCCTTCCATCCAAAAATTCTGGCATTGTTTACACTCCGAGCGCATTTTGCAGGCCATGATCTCCCACCCGAAACCAGCACCAAATCATTATTAGACGACTGACCAAGAAAGTGTTTCTTAGCAAATGCCAAGGGAATATTCTGCAAAAGAAGAAATGAATTAGCATGTCAAATGATTAGAACAGACTAATTTCGATTAGTTTGGATTATATTCTGAAATATAATAAGTACTCACCAATCTGCTACCTTTAGAGGAAACATAATATGGATACATGACAGAAATGTGGAAAGGGTTTTTAGACTTGAAAGCTTTTGCCCTTTCATAGGCTGAGCCCATTTCTGTCGTCTTAACCAAGCTCTTCTTCTCACCAGTACTGATTTTAGGAGTCATCAGAGGAGGAGAGCCCTCATCATCATCTGCTGAGTTCTCAACCTGCACTCTCACATGGTTGAATCTGTTGCAGAAACTCCCAGTCTGATCTTCTTGCCTCTTTCTCTTGTTTGGGCCACATTTCTGGGATAAATCCTCCAGGCTCTCAACGCCACCATGGGAAACAATCTCTGGGTATTCAATTTCTGAAGCAGTCTTGTCAAATATGAGAACATGAAAGTGGGATTCCCCATCATATCTGAACACCAGAAAGTGGCCATCACGAATGGAGTAGTTCTTGGTGAACTCCTCCCATCCTTTGTCTAACCAAATTCGACCTTGAGAATCATGAACCACCTGAATCTTCGACACTTGTCCAGTTGGAACCTCAAGACAGGCCACCTTGGGCAGATTCCTTCCATGCCTTCTAGCGAACTTCAAGGGAAGCCTCTGTAGAAAACACCAAATTCAATATTCTCCACAGAAACAAAGACAATATATACATGCAATAAGAAACGAAACAGTAGTAGTTGCATGAACTGCTGAAATTAAGAATCTAGTTTCAAAGTACTTACTAGTCTGGTGGGTTCATGGGAAAAGATAATGAAGTTGAAAATTTGTGGTCCAATTTCTGAAGAACATCGCCGGGATAGTCCTCCGCCGTTTCGCCGGAAGGGTTTTGGCGCCATAATTTTTCCAGGCGAGTGCAGACTGCAGAGTGTGCAGGCAAGGAAGTAAATGGCAGGTGATGGAGTTTAACGATGAGATTTGAAATGTCACATCCACATCTTTTGTTTAAGTTATCTCAATTGGACACTTAAATTTTTTAAAAATACAATTAAACCCTCAAACATATTAAATTAAGATAATAAAACTCAAAAATAACTTATTATTACAAATCATTTCAATTCAGACATCACTCCAACGACCTCAGGTAAAAATTCGATGACCGGCCAAACCGTCGTTGATCCCATCTCCAACAGAAGGTGACTAACTGACCGCCTTCCGCCGGTGAAGGTGACCAACTTCTCCATGTAATACGACCAAATCTGGTCGCCTTCCCAGGAGAAGAAGGCAACCAGTATTCTTGGGGAAGGCAACCATAAAGGTCACCTTCTCCATGTGGTCACCTTCCTCGTGGCGAAAGGCGACCTTTCTAGTCGCCATCCCCAGGAGAAGGCAGTTAGAACAGGTTGCCTTCCTCGGAGAAGGCGGTCAGATCTGGTCGCAGGCTGCCCTCGCCGTGGGGAAGGCGACTAAGAAGGCAATCAAATCTGACTATCTTCTTCGGCGGAAGGAAACCAGTTTTGGTCGTCTTCTATGGAGAAGGCGACTAGTTGGTCACCTTCCGCCGTCGATGGCTTGACCGGCCGTTGGTCATCGAATTTTCGCTTGAGATCGTCGTAGTGATGCCTGAACTGAAATGTCCTGCAATAACAGGTTATTTATCGGTTATTGAGTTTCATTGTCTCAATCTGATATGTTTGAGGTTTAATTGCACATTTAAAAAGTTGAAGTGCCTAATTGCCTTTTGGTGTAAAGTTTAGGGACCTATTTAACTATTTTCTCAAAGAAATATAATTTTTTCATAGAAATGCCGAATGCAACATACCCACCATATATGATTTTTAAGATCCAGAATGTAATTCCCTTAGGTCTTTTAGATATTAGTTATCATATTCTTATGAGTTAATTCCATTTTTTGTTCTGAATTTATATGTGACAATTCACTTTTAGTCTTTTTTTATTAGAACATCCACACTACTTCATATACATATCATACACAAAAAACAGAAAACACAAGTCACACTACTTAAGAACACAACCTGCAGGAGGCAATTACTAGTAACCAAATTGTGCATCCTTAATCATCTATCTCATCTGCAGGGAATACAATGATGTTCACACTCAATTTCTTGCTTTTCATGATCTCTAGGATGCAAACGTCGCCTACTTTTAATTTGTTGTCCACGACGAATGCCTTCCATCCAAAAATTCTGGCATTGTTTCCACTCCGAGTGCATTTTGCAGGCCATGATCTCCCACCCGAAACCAGCACCAAATCATTATTAGACGACTGACCAAGAAAGTGTTCCTTAGCAAATGCCAAGGGAATAGTCTGCAAAAGAAGAAATGAATTAGCATGTCAACTGATTAGAACAGACTAATTTCAATCGGTTTGGATTATATTCTGAAATATAAATAAGTACTTACCAATATGCTATATCCAGAGGAAACATAAGATGGATACATGACAGAAATGTGGAAAGGGTTTTTAGACTTGAAAGCTTTTGCCCTTTCATAGGCTGAACCCATTTCTGTCTTCGTCTTAACCAACCTCTGCTTCTCACCACTACTGATTTTAGGAGTCATCAGAGGAGGAGAGCCCTCATCATCATCTGCTGAGTTCTCAACCTTCACTCTCACATGGTTGAATCTGTTGCAGAAACTCCCAGTCTGATCTTCTTGCCTCTTTCTCTTGTTTGGGCCACATTTCTGGGATAAATCCTCCAGGCTCTCAACGCCACCATGGGAAACAATAATCTGTGGGTATTCAATTTCTGAAGCAGTATTATTGTCAAATATGAGAACATGAAAGTGGGATTCCCCATCATATCTGAACACCAGAAAGTAGTCTTCTCGAATGGAGTAGTTCTTGGTGAATTCCTCCCAGCCTTTGGCTAACCAAATTCGACCTTGGGAATCATGAACCACCTGAATCTTGGACACTTGTCCAGTTGGAACCTCAAGACGGGCCACCTTGGGCAGATTCCTTCCATGCCTTCTAGCGAACTTCAAGGGAAACCTCTGCAGATCAGATAACACCAATTAAATTCAAGATTCTCCACAGAAACAAAGACAATATATACATATATGCAATCAAGAAACGAAACAGTAGCAGTTGCATGATCGAACCGCTGAAATTAAGAATCTAGTTTCAAAGTTTCAAAGTTTCAAAGTACTTACTAGTCTGGCTAGTTCATGGGAACAGATAACCTTGAAAAATTGTGGTCCATTTTCTGAAGAACTTGGCAGGGATGGTCCTCCGCCGTTTCGCCGGAAGGGTTTTGTCGCCATAATTTTTCCAGGCGAGTGCAGACTGCAGAGTGTGGCTTAGCCTGTAGTGTGCAGGCAATGAAGTAAATGGCAGTGATGGAGTTTTTGGATTCAATAAATAAATGTTATAAATATGGTAGTGCTATGGATCGGATTATCTCTTGAACAAACTAAACTGAAGAGCATTTAATGTTTTTTTTTCTTTTCTGGAAAGGAAGAGCATTAATGTTTGGAAACCATTTTTGTGCATGACTAAAAGGCCTTGGGATTTCACGTACCACGATAAATTACATAACAGAAGAGGATTTGAGAAAGAAACATGGGTGTATTTTTTTAGGAATAGCTAATACCAAGGTTCCCTAGGAATGAGTATTTTCTTTGTAAAGGGAATAACTAATTCCTAAGAATGTTATTTCTATGACAAAATGATTGAAGCAAACGATGGAATAAGTCTATTCGTTATGTTGTCGAACCGTGTCCATCTTGCAAGGTGAACACGGTTTTATATTCATACTTATTGACTTATATGTTCATAATTATAAAACTATATATTTATAATTTTTTAACTTCATATTCATAATTATTGAACTCTATATTCACAATTACAGAACTCCACGTTCACAATTACTGAACTATATGTTCATAATTATAAAGCTATATATTCATAATTTTTAAATTTCATATTCACAATTATTGAATCTCTATATTCATAATTACAGAACTATATGTTCATAACTGTGTTCACAACTCTACGTTCATAATTATAGAACTATATGTTAAGAAAGTATAAACAAACATATACTACAATACATTTTTTCACTCTCAAGTTTGTTATGAAGACATTTTTCTTGGGACTTACGATGAATCCACGTCAAAAAAAAAAAAAAAAAAAAGTGAGAGAGTAAATTTGAAAGTACATAATAATAAAACTCATTATTAAAAGAGTTCATGTACACATACTTCAACTTTTATTTCACAATAAAAAACAAAGGGGGTGTGGGATCCATGATTAGTTGAGGGAGTAAAATAAATTTGTAAATTCTAATACAATAAAATAAGAATCCATTATACTAAAAATAATTAAATATTTAACTTTGGTTCACCTTGCAATATAAACAAACAAGTGTAAAAAATGTTTGCGAGTGCATAGAAACTGCCTTGGTTAGAATTATACTCCGTACTAACAATCTATACATCTTGCCAAGAGGTTCATTGTCAGATCAACCAAAGCAAATGCTGCTTCTCAAGAGATTCAACATATGAAAGCCAACAAGAAACCAAACACCATAATAAGCAGGCAGCAGCACTACAGTCTACAGGTTATCATCTCCAAAATTCACATATATATCATACACAAAAACAGAAAACATATATAGGTCTCACTTAAGAAGACTACCAGGCAACTAATAACCATATTATGCATCCTTAATCATCTGCAGGGAATACAATGATGTTCACACTCAATTTCTTGCCTTTCATGATCTCTAAGATGCAAACGTCGCCTACTTTTAATTTGTTGTCCACCACGAATGCCTTCCATCCATTAATTCTGGCACTGTCTCCACTCCGAGTGCATTTTGCAGGCCATGATCTCCCACCCGAAACCAGCACCAAATCATTATTATTAGACAACTGACCAAGAAAGTGTTTCTTAGCAAATGCCAAGGGAATAGTCTGCAAAAGAAGAAATGAATTAGCATGTCAAATGATTAGAACAGACTAATTTCAATGGGTTTGGATTATATTCTGAAATATAATAAACTTAATTACCAATCTAGAGGAAACATAATATGGATACATGACAGAAATGTGGAAAGGGTTTTTAGACTCGAAAGCTTTTGCCCTTTCATAGGCTGATGAACCCATTTCTGTCTTCGTCTTAACCAACCTCTGCTTCTCACCAGTACTCATTTTAGGAGTCATTATCAGAGGAGCTGAGTTCTCAACCTTCACTCTCACATGGTTGAATCTGTTGCAGAAACTCTCAGTCTGATCTTCTTGCTTTTTTCTCTTGTTTTGGCCACATTTCTGGGCTAAATCCTCCAAGCTCTCAACGCCACCATGGGAAATGATCTCTGGGTATTCAATTTCTGTAGCAGTCTTGTCAAATATGACAACATGAAAGTGGGATTCCCCATCATATCTGAACACCAGAAAGTGGCCTTCTCGAATGGAGTAGTTCTTGGTAAATTCCTCCCAGCCTTTGGCTAACCAAATTCGACCTTGAGAATCATGAACCACCTGAATCTTCGACACTTGTCCAGTTGGAACCTCAAGACACGCCACCTTAGGCAGATTCTTTCCATGTCTTCTAACAAACTCCAAGGGAAACATCTGCAGAAAACACCTAATTCAAGATTTTCCACAGAAACAATTAACAAAGAAATGCAATCAAGAAACAAAACAACTATTCAGGTTGTTGACTCAGTAATTACAAAGTTACAAATTTAGCTCCCAACAAGAGCTTGACTTCTGTTCACACTCTCAAATAGTGACTGTCCGGTTCCAGTTTCACTTCTCACCCAAAAAAAAAAAAGAAGAAACAAAACAGTTGCATGAACTGATGAAAGAATCTACTTTAAAAGTTTCAAGGTACTTACTAGTCTGGTCAGTTCATGGGCTAAGATGATCTTGTAAAATTGTGGTCGATTTTCTGAAGAATTTGGCCGAGAGGGTCTCTCGCCGTTTCGCCGGAAAGGTTTTGTCTCCATAATTTTTCCAGAGTAGTGCATACCTTCAGGGTGTAGTGTGAAGGCCAGGCAAGGAAGCAAATGACAGTGATTGAGTTTTTGGATTCAATAATGGTCCGTTTGGTTCACGGAATAGGTCGGGAATGGCATAACATTCCAAGTAATAAGCCTATTCCTTTGTTTGGTAACCATTTCTATTACCAGGAATAATATTCCTGGTAATAGCCTATTACCTGAAATAAGGTAATAGCTATTACTAGGGCCGTAAGGTAATAGCTATTACTAGGGCCGTATTAACAACGCTCAAAAATAGATTTTAAAATCTATTTTCTTTTTTACCCCTTTCTTTAACCTAATTTTTTTCCTATATATAAATTTATCATATTTCACCACCGTCGTCGTCACCACCACCATCACCGTTGCCGCCGCCGCCGCCGCCGCCACCACCACCATTGCCGCCCCCACCACCACTGCCACCGCCACCCACCACCACTACCACCACCGCCACCACCATCGCCGCCGCTACCACCACCACAGCCGCCACCAGAACCACCACCCAGCAGTACCAGCGCCACCGCCACCACCACTACCACCACCCAGCAGCACCACCGCCACCACCACCACCACCACCGCTACAACCGTCGCCGCCCCCACCACCACTGCCACAACCGTCACCACCCTCGCCCCCACCACTGCCATCGCGCCACTACCACCGCCGCCGCCGCCGCCACCACCACCACCACCACCGCCGCCACCACCACCACCACCACCACCATCGCCACCATCACATATTTTTATAAGGGTATTTATATCTTTTAAAACGTATATTTCTATTCCTTAAATCAACCAAACACTGTAATATAATTCCTAAAGTTTATTCCTTCCGCGAACCAAACAACAGAATACAATTCCTATTCTATTCCTTGCCTATTCCATTCCTTATGGAATAGCATTCCGATTACCTCAAAATTCATTCTGTGAACCAAACGTGCTGTAAATGTTATAGATATGGTAGTTCTATGGATAATCTCTAGAATAAACTAAACTGAAGAGCATTTAATGCATTTAGGGGGCATTTGGTTCACGGAATGTTCCATTACCTTAGGAAATATTAGATGAATGTTAGATTCTTTGGTTTAAAATTCAGGTATGTAAATAAAACAACTATAATAAAGACAAATTGATAAAAATGTCAACATCTCAAAACTAGTAATAAGACAAGAGAATGTGAAATTATCTAATAAATTGGAAGTATCTCACATTTCTTTTCAATAGTTAAAAATATTAATGTGGAAGTTAAGTGATATCCCTTGAAAAAATTACATAACTTAAACCAATCATGAGAATCTTATATACCCAAATAAATATAACCTTAGTTATGTTATATAACTCGAACCAAACACCCCTTAATGTGTAGAAACCATTTATTAATGCATGACTGGGGATTTCGTACCATAAAGTACATACCAAGTATATTTTCGAAAGAGAAATGATGTATATGTACTTTTATTACGGGTATAAGATCATTATTGTATGGACCATGGTACACATAAGTTGTGTGGACCATATTTTATCTATTGTAAAATAATGTACATTTAGTACAAAAATAATGTACATTCAGTACAAAAATAATATACATTATATTCAGGGAATATACATTATTTTTGTTCTGAATGTACATTATATTGTATAATGTACATTCAATACAAAAATAATGTACATTTAGTATATTAAAAATGTACATTTTATTATGGTCCACATAACATTGTGTGGACCATGGTCCATATAATAATTTGCCAGCAACTTATTGGTGGGTTTTTTTTAGGGCCGTAAATTGCAAATTATGCTGTGGAAACGTGTTCACCATGCGCATGATGAATACATGGGTAGATCCATAATTTCTATGTTGTAGATTCATAATTTTATTTTTCATTTGTTGTTAACGACGTTTCTCTCTTCACAATCACATTATTTCGTCTTCGCAGTATAAATATTATTAATCTACAGTACAGAAATTATGAATCTACAGTACGGTATAGAAATTATGAATCTACAGCTTAGAAATTATGGATCTGTCCCGTCTTCACCATGCGCATGGTGAACACGGTTCCACAACATAACTATCAGTCGTAAACGGCTTGGGCTCAGGTTGGCCAATCATTATGCTGTGGAACCGTGTTCACCTTGCAAGGTGGACACAGTTCTATATTCATAATTACTGAACTATATGTTCATAATTATAAAGTTATATATTCATAATTTTTGAACTTCATATTCATAATTATTGAACTCTATATTTACAATTATAGGACTCTATGTCCATAATTACTCAACTATATGTTCATAATTATAAAGATATATTTCATGAAAAATGTACTTTCTTTTATGGTTCATACAACACTATATGTCTATATAGACCATGGTCCACACAATAATTTGCCATATTTATCAAGCATGAGCCAACATGGGCAAATTATGCTGTAGAATCCTGTCCACCTTGAATGTGAACACCATTCGAAAACTGTTCATAATTATGAATATATAATTTTATAATTATGAACATAGAGTTGTGAACATAATTATGAACATATAATTCTGTAATTATGAATATAAAAATTCAATAATTGTGAATATAAAGTTCAAAAATTATATGAATATATAGTTTTATAATTATAAGATTTCGCAATAGAGGATTTCTTTTCGTTGATCACCCATTGGCAACCAGGCCACTTCAAATAGAAACTTTTTTAAACTCTTTTTTATTATCCATGCATTATGGTCCACCACAAAAAAAACTCAAGGCAAAAAAACAAATTCATTAGCTAGGCACTTTATGCCTAAATTTTATTGAAGAAATAAATTAAACGAATAAAATTAAGGATACAGGTCAAATAGACTTTCTTCATACAAACTGATTAGATTCTAACAATATATGTTGCCAAGAGGTTCATTGTCAGATCAACCAAAGCAAACGTTGCTTGTCAAGAGACTCAACATATGAAAGCCAACAGGCCCAACAAGAACCAAAAACCAGAATAAGCAGAGGCAGCAACACCACGGTCTACAGGTTATCATATCCAATTTAACATACATATCATACAAAAAAAAAAAAAAAACACAGAAAACTCAGGTCATCTGCAGGGAACCTTAATCATCTGCAGGGAGTACAATGATGTTCACACTCAATTTCTTGCCTTTCATGATCTCTAAGATGCAAACGTCGCCTACTTTTAATTTGTTGTCCACCACGAATGGCTTCCATCCATAAATTCTGGCATGGGTTCGACTCACAGTGTATTTTGCAGGCCATGATCTCCCACCAGAAACCAGCAATAAATCGGTAGACTGACCGGGAAAGTGTTTCTTAGCAAATGCCAAGGGAATATTCTGCAAAAGAAGAAATGATTAGAACAGATTAATCACACAGAAAGAAACCAGCTTCTTCTTTTCAATCAGTTTGGATTGTGAAATAAGTACTTCTTACCATTCTATTTTCAGAGGAATAAACATAAGTTGGATACATGACAGAAATGTGGAAAGGGTTTTTAGACTTGAAAGCTTTTGCCCTTTCATAGGCTGAACCCATTTCTGTCTTCGTCTTAACCAACCTCTGCTTCTCACCACTACTGATTTTAGGAGTCATTATCAGAGGAGCTGAGTTCTCAACCTTCACTCTCACATGGTTGAATCTGTTGCAGAAACTCCCAGTCTGGTCTTCTTGCCTCTTTCTCTTGTTTGGGCCAAATTTCTGGGATAAATCCTCCAGGTTCTCAACACCACCATGGGAAACAATAATCTCTGGGTATTCAATTTCTGAAGCAGTCTTGTCAAATATGAGAACATGAAAGTGTGATTCCCCATCATATTTGAACACCAGAAAGTGGCCTTCTCGAATGGAGTAGTTCTTGGTGAATTCCTCCCAGCCTTTGGCTAACCAAATTCGACCTTGAGAATCATGAACCACCTGAATCTTGGACACTTGTCCAGTTGGAACCTCAAGACACGCCACCTTGGGTAGATTCCTTCCATGCCTTCTATCGAACTTCAAGGGAAACCTCTGCAGAAAACACCAAATTCAATTGCATGAACTGTTGAAAGAATCTACTTTAAAAAAGTTTCAAAGTGCTTACTAGTCTGGTCAGTTCATGGGCTAAGATGATCTTGTAAAATTGTGGTCGATTTTCTGAAGAATTTGGCCGAGAGGGTCTCTCGCCGTTTCGCCGGAAAGGTTTTGTCTCCATAATTTTTCCAGAGTAGTGCATACCTTCAGGGTGTAGTGTGAAGGCCAGGCAAGGAAGTAAATGATAGTGATTGACTTTTTGGATTCAATAAATGTTATAGATATGAAGAGCATTTAATGTGTAGAAACCATTTATTAATGCACGACTGGGGATTTCAGTACCATAAAGTGCATACCAAGTAGTATTTTCCAGAGAAAATTGATGAAAATGTACTTTTACGGGTAGAAGAGCAACTTGCACTGCCTTTCGTTGGAAGGAATTAATTAATTAATTGGAAAAGGAATTGTAATTTAGTTGGAAAATAATAATGTGGAAATAAAGTATAAATTAAAATTATATTTTAATATATTTGGGTACACATAAGGTTTTCACCTTCGAGCACAATGACTAATTCCCTTGTTGAATTGTAAGCACCTATTTTGGGTGGGACAGCTGACCTGGAGATTTTAAGGATTTTAATATATAACTTATAACTCTAATATATAATGTGTATATATTATTATTATTATTGAAAAAAATAAGAAAAATATATGATGGATGCATATGCATAGTAACGGAAGTTATAACATCAGAGATATATTAAACATAACAAAAAACGGAAATAAATGAAGGTATAACATTCATTTACACTTATTGTTTTTTAGATATATATATTATGTGGAAGAGAATCATATGAAAACAAGTTACGAAGAAAAAAAAAACTAATCTTAACCTTATATATATGAAAAAATCACACAATTTTGACAAATTTGAAAAAAAAAAAAAGCATAGTAACATTTTTATAATTATCGCTATACATTACACTTCTCAAAATTATCCACAAATGCTCATTATATTGTTAAAAAGTGCACTTCATATAATATTAAAAAGTACAATTGTATTAAAAATTGTACTTTACACCATGTAAAAGTGCAATATATAGGTGCACTAAGGGTATTGTTTATTGTGGTAAAATTGACAATAATTACAATAATATTATCGTATTTTTTTAAAATTGATAATAATTACAATAATGTCATCATATTGTTTAGAAAATTTAATCTGATTCATTTGGTTTTCACGTATGGAATTCTTTATGATTCGATTAAAGATATATTTGAAATTTTAGAGATAGTATATGAAATTTATATATTTGAAAAGTATTATTATATGCCTATAGACAGTTTGATTGGTTAGTTTTTGAGTGGTAAATTGTGATTATGAGCAAAAATATAGAATAAAGACAATATGATCACATGACAGACATCAAGCATGGGTCTTTTTCACCTAATGAGAGATTCAGACATCGTGATTTACCTATTCAAGCTAGTCTTCTTTTGAGTGCTACTGACTCTATTACAATATAGTAACTACTTTCTCAACCCAAACGCACAGAGGCAATACCACTTCCACCTAGGAAGAACTCGCAACTACTTCCATATGGAAGTGAGATCTTGGTGCCATTAGACCACAAGTAATTTGCCCTATTCGATCTAGTCTAAAGCTGCTGAATTTGAAAATTAAAGAAAATGAAGAAACTAACAAAAGAAGAATTGACATGAAAATTAAAAAGAGAGGAAGATCGAGGAAGTAATAAATAGTATATGGGTGGATGAGAGTGATCCACTGCACATTAATATTGTTCTCTTTTTGGTCTACCACAGGGCTTAGGATCTGTGCGGGTTGTATCTAGTCTTTCCACCTGAACTTGGAGCACCCAAGAACCCCCAGGGGTTTCAGTGGTGTGGGTGAATCTGCAAACGTCGCCATCAACTAAGTCATTTGCAGCCTTGAACTCCTTCCACCCTTTGGTCATATCACTCCTATCCTTGTGGCTCTTCCCGTGCCGGGAAATCAGAACCGGCCATTCTATCCCCATCGGATCCTTCAGCACCACGCACATGCATCCCATCCTCCCCGTCTCTCTCATGAACCCCGTCGGAATACGCTGAATACATACAAACTCTACGTTATTAACTCATTAATCTAGAAATTATGAAATTTTCGACCACCAGAAAGTGATCGGAACAAAGCATTCGACTTGATTTAAGATCACTTTCAGATGGTCGGAAATTCTATAATTTAAGAACCCATCTTAACCAAGATAAATGCTATTCCGGGTAGATTGAAGGTTCATACGGGAGGAGAGGTTCTGATTGGAACATAACCAGATGTTAGTGTATATATATATACAAACCAGTCTAGATTTGTTGGAATATTTCATGTCGACAGAAAAGCACGGGCGGCTCTTCCTCTTCTTCTCCGTGACACCGCCGTCGTCTGATGCCGCCGCCGCTGCATCTGTAGAAACGTCGTCCCGTTCAATCTTTGGGGAAACCTTACCTGCAGCCAAGAGACAAGCATATATATTAACGATGAAAACATGCAGGATTTATCTCTTTTTTGGGTGACAGAGAAACCCTACTTAGTCTAAGTTGATCTGGGTTGGCTAGATATATCTAATTTTTGTTTGTGTTAAGTTGCATGTATGTACCTTTGAGGAGCGGATTCAAGGTCTTTGCAGGGCCAGTTTTTCCATAAACTTCAACCAAGAACATTGAAGGGGATTTAAACCAAAACACCAGAAAATCGTGGAGTTCTAAACGAAGGTCCTTGGCGAATTCCGGCCAGCCTTGAGTGAAGCACTGGTGTTCATCAGCCTCTTCTATCTTTACCCGCCATGACTCTCCAGATTCTATCGCCAGAACTGGATATTCCGGCAGATGTTTCCCATAATTCGCCGTGAAAAGCAGCGGCAACCTCTTCAAAACAGAAAGATCGATACTTGAATATAATATACACGATTAATTTGGAAATTATCAAGAAACAGAGAGAGAGAGAAAGAAGAATGGGGGATCGGAGCGGATCGTACTAGAAGAGTGGAAAAATCCTCGTTCAAAACCTTGAAGAATGAAGGCCTGCGTTCTGGCGGCGAAGCCATTAGGGTTACGTTTAATTTTCCGGTGCCTCAATAGACAGATCAGAGATAAAGACGAGTCCTTCGGAATTACAAATATAACGAAGATTGGAATCCAATGGTATCATTGAGAGAATATATAGACAGATCCCGAAGATCCAGAGTTCCCATAGCTGATGCAACTCATGCAAGAGCAACCCGGGATTTGGCGGGTAAAGATTCTGCGTATCTCCCGGAATCCCAGATTATCATTATACCTGTATCATAAAGAACCATTAAGGCATTAACATAACAAAAATATTATTATTGTTACCAAAATATTATATGTAATCCCACTTCTTACTCTTAGCTTTTATTTCATTCACAAATTTTGTATGTAGATATTTTTTTAGAATCATATAATAAAAATATTATATTATTGTTTGTCATAAAGTAAAGTGAGAGAGTAGAATTTAAAATACATGTAGTAAAACTCTTGATATAAAGTATATTTTATAACAAGAGTTTTATTAGAATTGCTATTGTTTTTTTTTTAATTAATTATTTTATTTAAAAATTATTTTTAAAATTGATAACCGGCATTTCAGGTCAACAGGTCATTTTAGACCTAATTGTATGATTTTGTGTTGTTCAGGGACCCAATTGCATTGTTTTTGAGTTCGATGGCTTAATTACACTTTGGAGTGCAGTTTGGTGACCTATTTGACCCTTATTCTTTTTTTAAATGTACATTATTTGATACTACTAAATAATACACTTTCAATATCCCAATGTAAGTCATGATTCATAGTATAATTTGTCCTAATAAGTGTGTCAGACCCACAAACACAGGGCAACCACATTTGTGATTTTTGAGGGTTAGTTTTTTATACCTAAAACACATCAATTTTTTTCTCAAAAAACCTCCGAATTGTGCAAGTGGAGCGCACTTCGCGCCCGTTGGGGAGCGTCAAAGTGCCGCCAGCTAGCAGTCACTCTGACTAAAAGACCGTTTCTTTTCCTTTTTTTTTTCTTTTCTTTTTTTTCTCTCTTACATAGCATTATAAAAAATTGTGAAAAACTAAACTATTGAAGATGTTTTCATAGTATGCTATGCGGGCCCATTAGTTTCTTTGATTCTAAACCTATTTTAAGGAATATGTGAGTACTAGTTTTTTATGCGCATTGCGCGATTAGGATAATGCCCAATGTCTTTCTTAAATAAGTACTTTAAAGTATATCAATGTAAGATTATATTAGAATTGTTCATGCATAGATAATTAAATGTTGAATTTGCATATTTAAATTGGTAATTCTAAGTTTACAAATGCAAGATAATATAGTCAAGATTGATTATAATTGTCAATAAAATAATTGTATGGGTATGGTTGAAACCAAATACAGGACATAAGGGAGTGCAAATAAAAATTAAGGCATAAAATATTAAATATATACTAATATTGTTTGAGGAGATTCCGACAGTAGGATTTGTGGTTAGAGTTGTATTAAGACTTTAATATTAGAATTAAATTAATGTTGTAGTTATAATTCTACATTAGACTTTAATAATAGAATTAGACTAACAGTGAATTAACGGTACTTAATGGAAAAATTAACGGATCAAATAATCATATAATTAATGATAAATTAGGAAATCTCAAGAAAAAATTAAAATCTGAACAATCTGAACTATTCATTTGATTTAATAATTTGACGGTCATTTTTTCTATCCAATGTTTATAATTAAATAAATATTTGAAAGTATATAAATGCAAGATTATATATGAGAAGTTCAACATAAGTAATTTAACGTCTAATTTGTTTATTTAAATATGTAATTCATAGTATATGAATACAATGTAATATAGGAGATCATTATAATTGTTACTAAACTTTTTTTTTTTTTAAATAGTAACCAAATATTTTTGTTGCAAAGGGTTCTAATATATTTAATGAATGCACATATATACAAGACCAATGAATGAATCAACAGTACCAGTCCTTTAGGTGTTTTGCTCAGTGTTCATTTAGTTCAACCATTATTCTTGAATAAATTATTATGAATAAAAAAAATTCATAGTTTAAGGAATTTAGATATAGTAAAAATTTAAATTTTTTAATTATAATGTAACTCAAAGATATTGGACGATTGGTAAATATGATGTAACCCAAAGATCAAAATGCTAAAGAAAGTGTTTTGGTTATTCAACAGTTTGAAGCAACAATTTGTTCCAAACCACTGAAAATACAAATATTACAATTTACAATATTTTCACTTAACGTTTTTTAGAATGATTTCCCCAAAATACATCAATATTTAAAATATATATTATTAAAACAAGTATTATTATTATTATTATTATTATTATTATTATTATTATTATTATTATTATTATTATTATTATTATTATTATATGTATACGTTTAGGTCATTTTAAATGTTAATTTAAACAGCTAATTTTTTCAAATATCTTTTTACCAACTGTTGATATAATTCGCTGGTTAAATCCGCTAACACTAACCGCTAACTGTTGATTGTCAAACAAAGACATTGCGAGGTATTTTCTCACTTCAATTTGTTGTGTGATTTGAATACTCTCTTTGTCAACAAATCCTTCAAGTAGTTAATATAATTGGCTTTATTAATTTAAATTTTTAAAATTTTTTCATGGTATTAATAAAATGCTTGGTAAATAAATATATAACATTATTTTGTATTATAACTTTGATATTTAATTAAAAAATAGTGCACAAAAAAGCTAAGATAATAGACAATGTAGTGAATATAATCAATTGATGAATTTGAATGTAAAGAATTGTTACATTAGAGAACAATAAAGACAATATAACTAATGAAATTATTTCTCTTAATTAATTTATTGATAATGAATATTTTTTTTGAATAAAGACATTGTAGGGACAATGTAGCGAATATAATCAATTGATGAATTTTAATTTTGAATGTAAAAAATTTTTATATTGGAGAAAAATAAAGATAATATAAGTAATGAAATTATTTATCTTATTTAATTTATTGATAATGAATATTTTTTTTTTGAATAAAGGCATTGTAGACACATAATTCTAAATTAAAGAAATACATATGTATTATTTTTTGTCGTAGCTACTAAATTATTATTTAATATAATTTAATAAGAGTAAAATAGAGTACTAATTATGCCAACTTTGATTGGGATGTGGTTCGAACCTAACACCTTTCTTATTGAAATCAATGAGTAAGTTAACGGTGAACTAACAGAAATTAACGGAAAAGATAATATTTAACGGAAAAGTTAACGGATAATCATATTCATTAAGGATAAATTAGGAAATCTCAATGAAAAATTAAAATCTGATCAATCTGAGCCATTCATTTGATTAAAAAATTTGACCGCCATTTTTTCTACCCATTATAGGCCTAACTCTCTTGGGCTCTTATTAGTATATATAGTAGATAGATATGACTATGTAGTCACATAATACTGATCGAGTACGTTATAATTAATTAATTACTTAATTAAATTCAGTTGATAAACATTATGATTTGATAATTAATAAATCATAATGGGTATAGTTTTTTTTTTTTTGAAAGCCAACCAATGAATGATTGTATTAATGAATCAAAGCTGCAATGCAGTCTGGAGGGATAGAATCCCAATACATAGCTTGATCCTGAATAAAAGCTAATGAAGCTAACGTGTGCGCATGCGCATTAATCTGCCTAGAAACATGATTAAACAAGACATAATTAAAAGACGAAGCTAAAGTCCTACACTGGTCAACTACTACTCCAACATAGGACATTATGATAGTTGTATTCTGTCGTATCGCATTTCTTAGCTGTAAACAATCTGTTTGAATCGTTACCGTTGTTATATTCTTTTCCAAAAGCCAGGATAGAGCTTCCTTACATGCCAGTGCCTCCGCCATGAATGGTGACAAACAATTCGATAGTCTCCCATTTTTCGCCGCAATAAAAGTTCCTCCCGGAGACAGCAGCACAATACCATATGTAGCTTCCCCCGTGTCCTCCCGATACCCCGCATCCACGTAACACCGTGGGGTGGAGTCGGTGTCGCCATCTGCTGTAGTCGTCGTGGGAGCCGCCGTGCCATGGCACACCACCTGCCGGTAGGAGTGGAGCGCCGCCGTGGCCTGTCTCCAGGCCGTCGTAGGCCGCGGCAGTGTGTCGTCCCATACCGCTGAATTCCTGCATCTCCATAAGCAATAAAGCAAAGCCACCACCGCTGCACTTTGGTCCTCTGTGAACATTGTAAGCACAATTGTTAGCCACTCGGGGAATGAGTTGACAACAATATTTGTTATTGGCAATCCTGAAATATTCCAAACATGTCTAGAATAATCACAATTGATGAATGTATGCATAATATTCTCATGCTCTATCCCACACATTTGGCATGTGGGATCCACTTCCACCCTCTTTATAATCAAGTTGTTAGTTGTTGGAAGAATATCACAAACTGCTCTCCACAAAAAAGTCTTCCATTTTGGGGGTATTTTCATTCCCCACATTTTAGTCCATTTCTCAAAACTCCCAGGCGAGTGATCATAAATTTCCATAATGTGTCTGTAGGCATTTTTAACTGTGTATATCCCATTGGGGTCATCAAGCCAATACCATGAGTCCTCATATCCTGGACTAACAGGTATCCTCAATATTCTACTCACATCTTCCTCCTCAAATAAATCTGCTAAAATATGTGGGTCCCAGGTAGCAGTTTGCTCATCTATTAAACCTACCACTTTAGCGTGCCTGAGCTCTACAGGCATATCAGTATGCACCAAAGGGCTAGGATTATCAGGCAACCACGGGTGTCCCCAGATCAGTGTCGTTTTACCATCCCCTATCCTCCTGCGCACCCGTGCCACCACCATATCATGAGCTGCCATAATACTCCTCCATGAGTGGCTCGGGCATCCTCCTACTTTGGCATCAACAAAAGTGGTATTAGGATAGTACCTTGCCTTATAGACTTTTGCAACAAGTGTGTCTGGACTTGTGAGTGGGCGCCATGCCTGTTTTCCCAACATTGCTAAATTAAAATTCTTGAGATCTTTGAACCCCATTCCTCCATATTTCTTTGGGATACTTAACTTATCCCAGCCTTTCCAGTGTATTCCTCTATCCATACCAGTGCCCCACCAATACTTGTTCATTGTTCTCTGGATTGATAAGCATACTGAGTCCGGGATCAAAAAGACACTCATTGAAAAGGTAGGCATAGATTGTGCCACACTTTTCAATAAAATCTCATTTCCTGCCTGTGTCAGAAATTTATTGTTCCATGAGCCTATTCTCTGTTTTATCCTATCCTCAATATATGAGAATACTGCCTTCTTGTTCCTCCCCACAAAAGATGGTAGTCCCAGATATTTCCCAAAATTGGGTGCCTGGTCTACCTGCAAGCAAATCGCCACCTCTCCCCTATCTTCCACACTGGTATTTCTGCTAAAACAGACACTGGACTTGTGATAATTTACCTTTTGTCCTGAGAGCTCCTCATATCGTCCTAGGCACTGTTTAATTACTCCCGCCTCCTCCTCGTCTGCTCTAAAAAATAATAGGCTATCATCTGCAAAAAATAGATGTGATATCTGCGAGGCTCCCCTAGCAACCCTGCAGCCATGTATTAAACCAGACATTTGCGCTCTTTGCAATAACACAGATAAACCTTCTGCACATATGAGGAATAAATATGGGGACAAAGGATCCCCTGCCGCAACCCCCTGGTTGGCGTTACACCTCCACTATGAACACCATTAATCAAGATGTTATACTGGACAGTAGTAACACACTGCATTAACAAATTAATCCACCGGTCCTCAAAACCCATTACCTCCAACATCCGTCTCAGGAACTGCCATTCCATCCTATCATACGCCTTGGCCATATCCAATTTCAATGCTGCCCACCCCTTCCTTCCACACTGTTTTCTATTCAAGTAATGCCCCACCTCCGCAACTATTAAAATATTATCAGTAATAAGTCTCCCAGGGATAAAAGCACTCTGGGCCTCAGAGATGAGGTTCCCCATGAGCGGTTTCATCCTATTGGCTATTACCTTTGCCATGATCCTGTACAGAACATTACTCAGTGCTATTGGTCTCATATCAGCTACTGTCTCAGGCACATCTTTCTTCGGGATTAAGACCACATTAGTATCATTCAATCCTTCAGGCAACGAGCATGAGTTCAAGCAATTCACAATAAATTTAGACACATCTCCCCCCACAATATCCCAATATTCCTGGTAAAATCCAGGATTCATACCATCCGGTCCTGGTGCTTTGTCAGGGAACATTGCAAATAAAGCACTCTTGACCTCTTCTAACTCAAACTAGCGGAGGAGTTTAGTGTTCTGCTCACTAGTCACACGGGGGGCAAAATTATCAAACATGGGATCCTCACATTCAGTGTCTGATGATGTAAAAATAGCAGCATAATATTCCAAGACAACTCTCTTCATATTATCCCCCTCCACCCATGCACCCATATCATCTTTTAATCTAGGAATATAATTTTTCCTTCTACGAGCAGAAGCGTACCTGTGATAGAACTTGGTATTGCAGTCCGCACCGCGCAGCCAGTGCTGCTTCGCCCGCTGCCTCCAAAATACATCCTCCTGCATCTCCAACTGCACTAGTCTCTCCTCAATGTCGCGAAATTCGGCCAATGCAGCCGAATCTCGTCTGTGCCGTATCTCATCCTGCTCTTTCCTCAATTGCTTGATGCGGTCACCAAACTTATGCCAATGCTCCCCACCCCACCGCATTAGCCTCCCCCCACAATGCTGCTGACAAATCAACAGCCCCTTATCCCTACCATCCTGCCAGGCTGTCTCCACCACCCTCCGGCAACCGTCATCATGAATCCATGCCATCTCAAAGCGAAATCGTTTCGGTCCCCCATATCTGCGGCCACGCACCACATCAGTGTTTAAAAAGAGAGCAGAGTGATCGGACTTTCGGGTTAGAATATTTTCGACCCACGCCTCAGTATTCAGTGTAGTCCATCGTGCAGACACCAACACCTTATCCAACCTTTCCTCCATCCATCTATCAGTGCCTTTCCCCTTCTCCCATGTAAACTGGTGACCCCGCATTGGCAATTGGGCCAGTCCACAATTGTAAACAGTATCCCCAAACCCTCTCAACAGACTATCTGGGTGAGGATTCCCCCCTCTCTTCTCACGTTGGTATAATAAATCATTGAAATCCCCCAACGCCACTCAGGGCAGTGTAGACTTATCCCTTAACCCAGTTAACAATTGCCACGCCTCTCTGCGTCTATGTCTCTGTGGAAACCCATAGAAGCATGTCATCCGCCATATCTTTTCCTTTATAACCACCTCCACATCCACATTGTTCTTCGAATAACTCAACAGCCTAGCAGTAATATTCTTCTTCCATAATAATGCTAAGCCACCCCCTCCCCTAACCGGATCCACATAAAATAGACCCTCAAAACCAATCTTAACTCGCAATCTTTCTGCATGACTCCGATCTACTTTTGTTTCCATTAAGTAGACGAAATCGGGCTTCTTACGGGACACCATGTCCACCACCTCACGAACTGTCTGTGGATTGCCCAAGCCACGACAGTTCCAGCTTATTGTACTCATTGAGATGGGCGGGCCTGACCAACAGGACCCGCCGTAAACCCGTTTTTTTGAGAGCTCAGACATCACCACATCTCCTGCATCCATCCTTATACTGCCACCACCCATCCCATCCCCCCTCCTTCTCTTAGCCGCCGCTACCACCACCCCCTCACCCTCCCTCTCACCCGCAACCCCAACCCGTACACCTCCTTCACCCACACCACCCCCCAATGCCGTAACCCTCACATTCCCCTCTCCTCCCATTCCCTCTTTCCCTTTCCCGTCCAGTGACCTCAACCACGGGTCCCCCACTTGCCTAGGCCCACGGCTACCTCCCCCCGCCTTCAGGTCCGCCGTATATGGAAATTTATCCGCAGTGAGTCCCGACTTCCTTGCCAGCTTACAGAACTTATAGGCATGCCCCAGTAAACCACAATAAAAGCAAAAATTATGTAAGCGTTCGTACCGGAAGTTTACCAAGCAGCTTGACTTATCTCGTTTAATTAGCTTCATCCTCCATTTTAGCGGCTTTTCCACCGGTATTGACACACGGACCCGGTGAAACGTCTTCCATGGTGCTCCCGGATAACGATCATCAACTTTTACAAACGTACCAATAAAATTAGCCGCTTGTTCAAGAACCGCTTCCGATGTATATCCCAACGGTAAGTCATACAGCTGTACCCACATATCTACCGACTTCAACTCAACCGCAGCTGGCCTTGCACCCGGTTCCACCTGTTTACAAACCAGGGTGTTGTTCTCAAACGACCACGGTCCTTCATTGAGGACCCTCTGCATATCCGTTTCATCATAAAAAATAAACATAAACAGCCCCGGTTGAATCTCTGTAACATGCATACCCCACACTGGTTGCCAAACCGAGGCCATCACTTGCCGCATATACTCCAACTTCACCACCTTCGTTGTCAAGAATCTGCCAACACACACCCACCGTTGTTCCTCCTCCTCCGCCACCACCCCGACACCCTCCCCCATCGGCTCAAAGCCGATTTCCTCCTCCTCCTCCAGCGCAATATCGCCCCAACGCTGTGTTAGACGATCAATAACGTCATCCACTCGCTCGAGGTGCGGTGGTTCCTCGTTAGCCCCATGCACCACCGGATTCGTCGCCGTAGCATCCATTCGTCCGCTTTTGTCGTTGCCCGTTACTGTTAGACATAAACCAGCAGCAGGTAGCGGTCGTGTTGTCTCCGCTGTTGTCCGTCGGTCGTTCATAATTCAACAGTAAGAACCGCACGTGTTTCGATCAAGAAAAACAAGAAAGCGTCGGAAAATCTAGGAGAAACCCTAGCAAGGAGGCAAAACCCTAGAGAGAATTTCTAGAGGGTATAGTTGATTTAACTAAAGGATATATAATGTGACCGTTATTTAACTAAAGAATATATAATGTGACAACTAACAAATCATAACGATTATGTAAAAAAGTATAGTTTTTACTTTAAAGAGCAAGCCAACAATTGATGTGTTCAATCTACACTCCGTTTCTTTACCACTTCATTGGCATGTGGGTCTTTCATTTTTTATTTTTTTTATTTTTAATAAATTGGTCCTTTTTTTTTTAATGATTATATTTTATTTTTTATATGACGGGTTGGTTTCTTTCTTTTTCATTTTATAAAAAAAGTGACTCGGACATAGTTGTTAAATAGATAAACAGTATGGATAGATCTCATAACCATATTCAAAATTTGTTAGAAGCCTATTTTTGTGAGTTGAAATTTTTTAAAGATATTCAAATCTTACATATTTTTAGAGAACAAAATAGAGTGATTGATTTCCTCACTAATTTTTCTTTACAAAGTGTGAGTGGCATGAAGATCATGGAGTCTCCCCCCACTCCTCTTCATGGGTTTCTAGGGTTCGTCTATAAATTATAAGATAGTGGTAGAATCCATCCATAAGTGTAAGTATTACTTACTTTTTGAGTTTTCGTCCCTAAGATATCATTTACATTGCACTTATCATCCCTAAACTAACTTCTGTGCTCACTTTTATTCGCAAGTTAACTTCTCATGCTCACTTTTCGTCCCTAATGTTTTGTTATTAGTAAAGGGACAAAAAACTTTAGGGACGAAAAGTGAACAAGACCAATATTCAATAATAATTATCTTATAACTTAGAGACGAAAAGTACAATTTTTTCTAATGATAATAATAACGAACAATAATAAAGATTAAAAAATCTATATACTAAATGATCTTTTTTTTTTTTTTTTCATATAATTAAAAAAAAAAAAAAAAGAGATCATTTTTAAAGGATATTGATGTAGGACATTTTACATAGTTCTTGGGCAAATGATAGATATTGAAAGTAGGACATTTTACATAGTTCTTGGGCAAATGTTACAGGACTACAAGGTCTTATGGATAGGATTACAGGAAGCAAAAGTGCAATGCCACACCAGCAAAAATGGTTGAGCAGAACCCTTGCAATATATTATAGACAATAAAAACTTCACCCATTTCAGAAAGGTTTAGGCACTCTGCATTACCAGGGGGAAGATGCAGCAGCATCAGTTTAAGCAAATTATACTGAACATTTCGACGTTCCTAAGAGTGTGCTGACATTAATTGTTCTAATTATGCCTCTGCCTTTGCCTTTCAGCAATGCTATCACCCGGGATTCCCTCAGCAGCTCGCCTCTTCCTTATTGATTTTGAACTCGTTTCTGGTGCAAGATCGCCAGGACTAGGCTCACCATCACTGGTATCGCTTGACGCATGCTTGACATTATTTAGACTGACCCCCAATGATGACACATCATCGGAGTTGGGATAGTTTCCTAGGATAGGGATAGTTTCCTGGGATAGGGATTCAGTGGCCTCGTAGTCCATTATTTTCTCTGCAGTTTGGCTATTCGGCAACTCCTTTGAGTCATTGCAGGCCTCATAGGATTCCTTCTCTGAGGATAATGTTGCTTCCACATCTGAAAAAGGCAGTGATCCCTTTGCAGAATCTGGGGGGCTGTTGGGTACATTATTCTCAGGATTGGTATTTGCTCGACGGGTTTGAATGAGATAATGTGCAACCGACTCATAACCCAAATTCTTGATCTACATTTAAGGCAAATGAAGTTAGGTTTACTCAAAACACCAACTGACCAAAATACCAAAAGAAAAAGGACATGAGATCCACTCTTGAATTCATTACCTTCTTGTAAAGAGGACCAGTAGGAGCCCAGCCCTTTGCTTGGCGGCACAAGCTGCAGTTGCAAATTCCACGACAAACAGGGCATATCCAATCTGGATTACAATTTGCTTCGAGCACATGTTCTCCATATCTGCATAAACTTACATAATTTTGAGTCTTTCACAGAATGTTTTTGCTCACATGTTTCACGACTACAAGCACAAAAAAGATATCGGGCTACAAGTTAATGGGAGGAAGTTTTGGTATGGAAATGTTATACCTCATGTACAAACAATCTCCACAAAACTGTCCTTGGACCATGTTGCACTTGCTGCAATGGGTACGATGGCCAAGAGTTTTCTGCCTGTCAAACAACATACATAAAGCGAAGTAAATGAAGTTAACACATCCATGTAAGATTGATGATATAACACATTCAGTTACGGTACTCATGCTGCTCAGTATACACCAATACACCATTCTAGGGTTCTGCCTCATGTATGAGGTTGGCTAACGGTCTAGGCAACACAACAGGAACATCAATGTGGCTGAAAATCAACACGACTACGGTTCTCTTATACGAGGTCTCTCGTATACTATTGTTCAGTATAGTTAGATTATTCTATATCTAACAATCCATTCAAGATGAAGTTTCTAAGAATTCGAACCAAAGTCACCTATAGATAGAAATTCAATGGCCGGAACTGCTAACCTGCATTGATGGCAAGTCTTTCCCTTGACAGGATCATAAATTCGCTTCCCATCCTTTCCATATCCATCAACAAATAGAGTCCAGTTCATCTTAGTGCTACCCAACAACTTCTCATGCTCTTCACTATACGTCTCTGGCTTTGAACCAGCCTCCCTCAGCAAATCATCCTCAAAACCCAAAGACTTGAGGCTCTTTCCCACTCGCACTTCTGTGTAGCTAACAGGCGTTACATTTTGCAGCCTGCAATTCTCACTTCCTCAGAAAAATAACCAAAAAATGAAGAGGAAAATGAAAGCAGGAAAGAGAGAAAGGTGTGCCTGGAGGATCGGCGAATGGGTTGAGGACGAAGCACAGGGGAGAGAGGCGGCTGAGGGGTTTTAGTTTTACGAGTCTTGCGAGTGACGGCGGGGGGCTTGGTAGACTGGAACGCGCGAGAGAGTTCGAAAATACCCAGCTTTTGCATCCTTTCAAGGTTTTCCTTGATTCGTTCTTCCCTGAACTGTTCGTACTCGGAGACGTTATTCCCTCCATCTTCTTCTTCAATGGCGTCATTTGCAGTTTGGTCTCTTTCCCACTCCATTTTTTTTTTAGCATAGTGGAAGTGGAACTTCTCTCTCCAACGCTTAAATGCGTGGTGTGTAGTGTACGCCGTCCTGTCAATCGGCCTGGGAATTGGTGATGTCCGCCACTCCACTCTATGAACTAGCTAGGCAGTGGGAAAGAGACCAAACTGCAAATGAACTATGTAACTGTTTGTGACTGGTTTTTGAAATTGTTTTTAGATATAAGGTTAAAAAATGTAATTAGGCCACTGAACAAAAAAAAAGTGCAATTAAGTCATTGAATATTCCAAAAATATGCAATTTCACCTGATTACAGGTTACCCTCAATTTTAGCAGGTTATCTGCTTACGTGACAGCTGAGTTGGCATTTTTAATAAATTTTAATTAATTTTTAATAAATTTAATAATAAATTTTTATTAATTTTTTTTTAAATAAAAACGACTTTATTTTATTTTTTATTTAATTTTTTCCAATTTTTAAAAAAATTTATTATTAAAATTAATTATTAAAAATTATTTAAAAATTATTAAAAATGCCAACTCAGCTACCACGTAAGCAGGTAACCTGCTAAAATTGATGGTAACCTGTTATCCGGTAAAATTGCATACGTTTGGAGAGTCCAGTGGCCTAATTGCACTTTTTTTTCGTTCAGTGACCTAATTGCATTTTCAGGTTACGTTCAGTGGCCAATTTGAACCTTATTCTTTGTTTTTACCTGTTCACAAACATAAATTCATTGTCACTGTTACCTATAACTTGTCTCCATGTAACACTATAACACATGTATATGTGACTGCTAATTAACTATTCACAATTTCTTATTTTTCTTGTACCATCAATATCTCAATCAACTTTTCATGATTCAATTCATTACACGAGATTACACTGATAGAATTTAACTACCATTCATTTTATCAAATAATTTGACGGACATTTTTTAGTTCTCAACTTAATTTTATTGGCTATTATTAGTATATAAAATAGATTTTAAAATTTTTACAACTTGAATGACTTAATGTACTTTAAAAAAAGTTACTAATTGCAATTTTGTAATTAGTTAATTACTAGATTGGCTTAATTTAATGGAGTATTTCAATATTAATAGGACTTGCCAACTATTATGTAATGTGATAAACATCTCAATATGGGTGGTTATAGAATCGAATTTCTGTGATGAGAGTATTAATTTTTTGGACTAAAAAAATTAAGAAAATATAAAATAGAAACAGCAACTGCTTTATAAAAAATAATGACTGTTTCAAAATAAAAAATGAATGAGATTAGTTCTGGGCCTAGATTTATAAAGGCATGCAGCCAGAAAAGGATTGGGCTTAATGGACTATAGACTATTTATGTTTTTCCCCCACGAACTTCCATAATTTTCAGAATACCCCCGAGTCTGGTCCAAAATCCAAATGGCGCCTTTTCCCTCCCATCCCCAATTTATAATCTAGGGTTTTAAAGTTAAAGCTTTTCGATGTTCATCCCTAAAATCCCCTACCTTCATCAGTTATCACATTTATACTGATGAACCGAAATTAAATGCAAAAATCTCCAGCCTAATCGCAGAAACACTCTTCTGATCAGCGGCGGCAATGGCGTTTTCCTTTACTCCTCAGCCTCAGCAGCAGCCGTCGCTATTCCAGACTCCTGCTGGTCAAACGCAACCTTCACCGTTCTCGCAGGTCACTCCCACGCAACCTTCACCGTTCTCGCAGGTCACTCCCTTCTCGCAACCGACGCAGCCGCAATTCAACTTTCAGCCTCAGCAACCGCAATTGCAACAGCAGCAGCAGCAGCAACAACAACCGCAGCAGCAGCAGCAGCTGTTCCTCTTCACCAACAGTAAGACGCCTGCTACTTACGGTACCAAGTGGGCAGACCTCCATCCCGACTCTCAAAAAATCCTCCTCCAAATAGAGTGCGTATAATTGCTCGTACATATACACGTCTCAGTACGAGAGATGTTAAGTTTATGTTTAATGTGCTTTTGTCTAGCTTGTTGAAATTGTTAGTAATTTTGTGGCTGCAGAGAGAAAATACTGGAATATAGAGATGAGAGTCAACGGCTTGATCAATGTAGCAGGCTGTATGATTCATCAGTGTCAAATGATGGGTTTGAGCTTGATTCTAGTCATAATATTCAGGTTTCTTTTCCTTCATTACCATAATTAGTAATTAACTGCATTCCTTACACTTTTGTTGTTGTTGTTTTAATGCTAATTTGTTGCTCCAGAACCTAATAGTCCTAATAGTAGTTGATTCATCAGTGAAATTCTAATAGTAAAACAAAAGTTCATTGCAACATGCCTTGACTTGTAATGCAAGATGCAGAATAGTCTCATATGGCAAAGAGATTCATCAATTATCAAGAATTTGCAAGAAAACGAGTGTTTAGTTTGATATTTTGAATGAACAAAAATAGAATTCAAGTCTTAATTTCTGCCCCCTACTAGTGCCTCTTTTTGTTATGTTGATTGTAAAAATGCATTTAATTGGTTTTTTTAGGAACTTGTTGGAATCAGCACATCAATGGAACGGCAAAAAAGTATATTGCATGAGCTAATGACTGTTGTTAAAGATATGCTGCGCAATACGGAGGTAGCTGTTCGTTCGTTCATGATGTTACGCCCAAGGTTTCTTCATCAAAATCCACCTGCTTCAAGTTCAGCAACACCATCACAGGCCTCTGGGGCAATAGTAGCCCCAACCTCAAGTGCTCAAGCAACCACTATCCCCAATTTTCCAGTTTTTGATTTTTACAGTGGGATTCCAAAGAAGCCTTCTCCCTTCATGCAACAAACTATAGCTAGATTTGAGAAACATCTTGCTGAATGCAGGCAGTGGGTTGAAGAACTGGAGCAGTTGATCTTAGATTCTGATAGAAAGTCTCTCAATTCCAGTGTGTCACTGTTGCAGTCACTTCCACAAGTCATGTCAAATGTGCATGATTTTTTTGTTCATGTTGCAGCAAAGGTAAGAGAAACTTCAGAGTTTTAATTTTTTTTTCCTTCAAAGACTCAAAGTACGGTAGTCACGATTGAAAGAGAGAGAGAGAGAGAGAGAGAGAGAGAGAGAGAGAGAGCTCTTGCCTGGCTGTCTTTCATGTTTTTCTCTGCATTGATGAAGACTGGCAGATCATAAATCAGGAGACTATTCTTTTTTCCTTTATTCAAAGGCCATAAGCTGATATTATTGTTAGAAAGCACAGTGTCTTATTTATTACCAAAATGCGATTGTTGCATGAGAATTACGTTGTAAGTATATATATATATATATATATATATATATATTGCTTTAGATATTAGACCATTACTACAACACCTAGTGTCTTTTTTTTTTGGGTTCATCAGTATAGTTAACTTTGCTTTCTTGGCTTGTAATTGACAAGACATGTTGGCCTTCATTTTCCTTTAGGTGGAGAGCATTCATCAATACATTGAATCCATGAAAACTGCATACCTTACTGATCAGCGTCGACGTGGGGAGGTTAGTGATCCCTTTCTTGAAGCTGATCGACGGGAAACAGCCAAACAAGAGGCTGCTGCACGAAGGGTTCATCCAACCCTACATTTACCTGCAGCACCACAACCAGCAACTCAAGTTACTGGGTTGTTTCCCAGCTCAGCAGCGCCTGGAACATCCACTGCACCACAAACGTCTGCCATACTTTCAACCAGTTCTGCTGCAAGTGGGTCCTCACTTTTTAGTACCCCAGCCATTGCTGCTTCATCATCTTCTCTGTTTTCTACACCCACTGCTTCTGCTCCAGCAGTCTCCTTGTTTGGATCAGGTGCTTCCCCACAGACATCGCTCTTTGGCTTTTTGGCCACTTCTAGTCCAGCATTCTCTACTCCAAACTTGTTTGGCTCTACCCCCTCTTCTGGTGTTACAAATTTTTCAACTCCTTTTGCTACAGGTATTCTATTAAATGAGTTGTATAATGATTTATTATACTCTGCTAATTACATGTTTCCTTTTACTATTTTGTTTAATTGTTACAAGCACTCTTGTTGTCTATGGTCTAGAATTGTACATGCTAGCTGTTATGAAAAGTAAATCTGAGAAAGATGATAAACAACACAAAGAGAAGTGAGAATTAGGCTAAAAAGTCCCAGTTGGGGAAAAAGCCAAGGAGCATAAAATGTTGAAAAACTTTCAATATCAGTTGATAGGTTCTCCATGGTCTTAGTTGTAGAAGTTTTTACAGTGAACTAAAGCATCTCCATTAATTAACCTAACTGTGGTGTAGGTATTATCATTGCCAACTTGAACATTGCTGATCTAATGGCCACTAGACTCTTCTCACAGGATTTTATTCTCCAATGTTTCACTTTATACCTGTTAGTTGCATGACTCTAGTTGATAGATATGAATGCAATGGTTAGAGAATCTTTTCAATTTTGATCAATGCCCAGAATTCAGTTGTTATTCACGTTGCTACTTACACTATTCTGTCCATATTTCATTTTTTCCATGAGCATCTTCTTTTCTTTTTATTTCTTGTCTCGTAGGAGCTGCAACTGGATCGGGGTCAAGTTTTGGAACTTTATCTGTGAGTACAACTATGGTTTTCATAAATTTGAGTAATCTGTTCCTGATTGTTTCAACTTAAAAGGATCCCCCTTTCCCCTCATTACTGAGTTTTTCATCATTTGCATGAATTTTTCTTGGCTTTTAAAATACCTTTATTGATTTGTCCTCATATGCTTTAATTTTGTTTGGCTTTTAAAATACCTTTATTGCTATCCATTTCCTTGCAGAAGGCAAGGGCTAAAAGTCGCCCTGGAAGACGCTAAGCTTTATCAATGTCGATGAGAAGTCATCCTCTATTCTCTTTGATTGCAAGATGTTGAGAGTAAATCCATGAGGTTTTGTGCAAGACCACAGTGATCTTCATTATTTCTTGCTTGGTTGCAGAACTGTTGACTGGATTCTTGACGTGCTGCTATAAAACCGTATTCTGACTTCATATGCATTTTGGCGGCTTAATTATACAAATGCATTTCATGAGATGTTGCTGTAATATTGTAAAATGCAACCCCCACCCTATTTTGGGTGGTTGCGCTAAGAGTTGATATCTTACTTATGCCTGCTCTTGCTAAGTTCGACAAACTATTTGTCCTGTTGTATTTTAAAATTTCATCATTTTTAGCATTCGAATATCATATGCGCTTTTGAAGACGTCATAACTGTCCATTAGATAATGTTTCAATTCAATCTATACTTCATTCAAATAAAAAGATGGTAGTTGAACATGTTGCAATGAGATGTGAAGTTTACTAAGCTCTCTCCATCCTCTGTTGTTTCTTCTTACCCACCAGTAAGGTCGAATTCACCGGGATCTGAAGGTGTCATGTTTCCCAGCAATGTATGCAACACCATTTGTATTTCGCCATTTTGCAGGTGCGACTGATCGCCAGAAGAGAACACATGTATCTTGTTGTTCACGGCCTCTAACCAGCTTAAACCAGGTTCTTTTTCAAGCATCAACCCTTTTATCTTTCTCCTCATTTCTTTGACAGCATCCCATCTTCCTGCTGCAGCGTATAAATTTGAAAGCAATATGTTGGTTGCACTGTCGTCTGCATCCAAACTCAACACCTGCTCGGCAGCCCGAATCCCTATTCTCAAATCCCCATACCGAGCGCAGGAGCTGAGCAGAATTCTCCACAGTTCAAGATGATAATCGCCAAAAGGAAATTCAGTAATCATCTCCTCAGCCTCCTGTAGTAATCCGGCTCGACTTAACAATGCAATCATGCAAGAATAGTGCTTCGGTCCTGGTCTTATGCCTTTTTCCTTCATGCAGTTCCAAAAGTACTTGGCCTTGCTGACCAAACCGCAGTGGCTACAAGTTGCAAGAAGAGATAAAAACGTTACCTGATCTGGCTCAAGGCCATGGTTTATAATCTCGTTGAAAGTTCTGAATGCCTCCTCAGGCTTCCCGTGATAGCCATATCCTCCCAGCATTGTGTTCCAACATTTTAGATCAGGTGCAGTTGTGAGGGAAAATACAACTTCTGCAGCTTTAAGGTTCCCATTCTTGGCATACATATCCACAAGATTTCCACAAACACTCATCTCGGAATCATAGCCTGTCTTTACAGCCAGGGAATGAATCATCTCTCCTTGTCGCAGAGTTGCTCCTTCAGCACAGGCGTTAAGAGTTGCACTAAGAGCAAAGCTGTCAATCTTTAGCCCATCCTGGAGCATTCCATGGAAAAACCTTAGAGCACCATCAGTATCACCGGTTCTACAATAGCCCGCGATCATCTCAGTCCAGAGAACGACATCCTTCTCAGAAACTGAATAAAATATCTTGTGGGCAGACTCGGGTTCCTCATTGCTAAAGTACATAGCTAACAATGTGCTCCCAACATACACACTGCTCTGAAGCCCAGCCTTCTCAGCTTTGGCATGGAGTGGTTTCCCATAATCCGCTGCTGGAAACATACATGTTGCAGAAATAACGGCTGCAAAAGTATATTCATCTGGCTTGCACAGAGACCTTCGTAAAAATTGGACAAACACTCTCACTGCCTTCTCTCCATTCTCTGCATATCCTGCTATCATTGAGTTCCATGACACCAAATCTGGATTCCCAATCTTTTCAAATACATCCAATGCTGTTACGGTGTCACCACAACTACAGTACATATCAAGCAGAGCATTATGCAGAGGCATGTCAATATACGCCCCGGATAAAATTACCTGGGCATGAAGAAGTTGACCGGTATGATAATCTCTCAACCTGCTACATGCATTTAATAACATTGAGAAGGTAAATTGTGTAGGACAAACTTCAGTCCTCAGCATGCTTCCGAAAAGTTTAAGACTTTCTCTCATCTCACCGTTTTCTATGTGTCCAAAAATTAAAGAATTCCAGGCCACTGAATCTGCGTGAACCATGCAGCGAAAAGCTTTGTATGCAGAGTCCAAATCCCCACAGTTGGAATACATCCCTAGTAGAGAAGTCTGAATGCAGACATTGTCCAAGAAACCAAACTTCAAACACTGGGCATGTATCGCAGAACCCAAAGTTCGATTCTTTATGGCAGATGATGCTTGTAAGAGGCTCGTGAAGGTCGACCCGTTTGGTCTGAGCCTCTCGTTTTGCAATTCTGCAAGTAGTCGGAAAACCAAAACGCCCAGGTGGGGGCTAGAAGAATATGCAGAAATGAGGGCGTTATAAGTGACTGTACTTCTCTGAGGCATATTGTCGAACAGTGCTCGAGCGTCCGTAAGGGATCCGCATCTGGCATACATGGAGAGAATGTTGTTGTATACATATGGAGACTTCGAAGCCGTGGGTGCAGAGGTGACAATGATTCCATGGAGCTCCCGCGCTTTCCTGACCAATGTTATGGAGGCGCACTTTTGAACTAGGAGTGGGAGGTCTATTATGGAGGAAGAAGCCTCCAGTGATGGTGGCATAAGACAACTTTTGATCGATTATTTGCCAATTCCGTCTCTTATTAATGCGAATTAGCCGCAATTTTTAGCACACGGCCCAAAAACAATGACTTTCTGCCCAGATCAACTAAGTTGATGATAGGGGTAAAGTTTGAAAATAATGACCGGATCGAGTCAAAACGCAGACTTTTCATAATGGAGTTGTGGGGCTGATAGGCACTGATTTGTCTTGACTGAATTCGATGCAGACTTTTCAATACTAATAATAGTAAAGCTTTGGGCCCTTTAGCTATATTCATCACTGATGCTATTGAGTGCAGTGGTTAATCAATCATGGATGAGAGAAAGAAGCACTTTGTACTGGTTCACGGAGCTTGCCATGGTGCGTGGTGCTGGTATAAGGTGGCGGCGCTGCTTAGAGCGGAGGGTCACAAAGTAAGCGCCCTCGACATGGCGGCCTCGGGGATTCATCCCAAACTCGCAGAACAAGTGAGTTCCATGGCGGAATACAATGAACCCTTGACGGAATTCATGGCTGCGTTGCCGGCGGGTGAGAAGGTGGTTCTGGTGGGCCATAGCATAGGTGGGGTCAACGTATCACTTGCTATGGAGAGTTTCCCTCACAAGATATCTGTTGCTGTGTTTGTCACTGCCTCCATGTTTGGCCCTGATCTAAGCTTTCTTGCCGTGAAACAAGAGGTATATATACATAATATATATATCATATATCTTCTTCTCTTTTTAATTAATACTTTGCAAGAGTAAAATTAATGGTGTTGATTTATTGGTGATCAAAATCATATACAGTTCCATCGACAACTGGAATCTAACATGGACCAAAAAACTGAGTACAAGGAAGACCGCCCGGTCTCCGTCCTCTTTGGTCATGAGATGCTAGAAAAGTTGGTATATCAGCTCTCTCCTCCAGAGGTTAGTGGTCTGAGTTCTTGAGTTTTTTTTTTTTTTTTTTTTTTTTTTTTTTTTTTTTTTTTGAAAGCTGTTCTTGAGTTTTAAAAAAAAACCAAGAATCTTTTTCTTGGAGAGATAAATATTCAAATTGCATGTGCTGTCAACAATTGATTCAAATTGCATGTGCTGTCATTAATTGCCCAGTAGCTAGCATGTGTCTTTTTTTTTTTTTTTTTTTTTTTAATTATTATTATTTTTTTAATTATTATTTTTTAATTTATCATAAGCTCACAATCGCTATCTGAAATAGATATTGAAAGGTGAAATTGTTTTGTGACTTTAATTGGTAAAGAATTTTAAGGAGGTAAATTAGTCTAGCTTGTGAATTAAGAAAATCAATAGATAGTTCAACTGTTGATTTAATAACTATAAGTTACAAATTTCATTTCCCGCGAGAACAGTTCATTGACCTTTTTAGTTTGAATAGGTTAATTATGAACAACTTAGGCTAGTTTATCTGTTTGTAATTCTTTAGTAGCTATAGTCACAAGGCGAGATTTACTCGGTATATATCGGCGAATAATGACTTAGTGACTTTTGTCACTCAAAAAACTGTCACATGGAGATTTGTAGTTATCAAGTCTGACCAACTTAGTTGTGTTGCTGACTAGCTAAGTATGATAGCAAAGTCTTTTTTCTAGGAAGATATATATAAAATAAACTAACAATTAACGAACATTGAAACAGGATTTGACATTGGCAAAGTTGTTGGTACGAGGTTTGCCATTGTTTGAAGACGGAAATGGTGAGGAGTATGCAGTGACTAAGGAAAAGTATGGATCAGTTAAGCGAGCTTACGTGGTTTGTGGCAAAGATAAGTTATCCAAGGAGGAGTATCAACGGTGGCTAATCCATATGAATCCCGCCGACGAGGTCTGCCTCATCCCCGACGCCGATCACGTGCCCATGTTCTCCCAGCCTCACCAACTCTGCTCTTCTCTGCAACTCATTTCCCAGAAATATCACCACTG